ATTATTGTAATCCATATCCTTACGCCTCATTTCCGCCTCTCCCTTTTATTGCGACATTCTCCATTTATATAATATTGTGATTGCTACATAAGTTCAGTAACATCTGTAAACCTGAAGAAGGCTGGTATGGCCAGCCGAAATATTTTTATAAAAAACAATACACCTTGTTTTAAATCAGATTTGCAGTAGTCTTTGGACTTCTTGTTCTTGGTTCTTTATATTTTGGCTGATTTGATCTATTTTCTAGAGATCCAACGTTTACAACTAGCAGGATCTTCGTCCACGGTTTTTGCAGCTAATTTTACCCCTTTGAGACCCTCCTGTCCCTGCTCCCATCCATTGTTATAAATACTCTTGTCTGTACTGTCATTTGTGTGCTGATGGGTGGTCGTCACGTGACCTTAATTAAATTTTGAGTGGATTCATTTGTAACATACGCGTTAAGCTGTTGCATTTGCCCACTTGAACTTTTTTATGGCAAATGCGATAGCTATACCCGTATGTCGAAAATAAATCCACTCTTGGTATATCGCGCGGGATAGGGTATTTGAATAAATAGTTGGCATCTTTTCGCTGCATAACCAAACACTTGTCATTCATTAAACTATTATTCTTATTATTGTTATTATCATTTTTGTTTATTTATTTATTTATTTATTTATTTATTTATTTATTTTTACCCTGGACTGTAACGGTAACTCTTGGTTATTCATTTTATTTCATAAATTTTATTTCATATTTGAGGGTCTCAATGGGGTGGTGGTTTTTACGGTTATCGGCTAAAATTTTGGCTCTATTACGGCTATCGGTTAATTTTTTCAGTGACGGTTAACAAAAAAGCAAAAAATTAATTTCTTTTGTTTCAAATAGTTAAATATTAATTATCCTGTATTTTTTGTATCTTTAAAGCAAACTAGAGGTCTTCGGATCATCTCGGGATGAAATAAGCAATTCTTTTCAAAAATTTTAACATTTGATAGATCATACTTTTTATAAAGTATTTCATTTCTAATATTATTTTACACATAGAAATGTCAATAGTCAATTTAAAAATAATCAAATAATCTTTGTGAAAAAGCAAATTAAAGCAGACACGCGAGCGCCCAACTCAAGGCCGAGGCGCGACATTCATTTATAACAGAAATGGTCATTTTCACACTAGACACGGATTATTCGTGTGAGACGGTTTATCCTTTTAATGATTCGCGTTAGATAGGTAATAAGTCTTAATTTGAAAATGCAATAGTTTTAATTTTGAATGAACAATCCGCCTGACTTTATCCATCAATTTTGACGGACAATTTGAAGATGGATTATCCATTTCAGAGAGCCTGTGTACAGCAGCCCCCTCCCCTCAGAAAAAAATAGGAGAAGGGGTGTCCGTGGGGCAGGGGGCGACTGTACACAGGCTAGTCTCAGACGAATAGTCCATTTCTAGCTCTAGTGTGAAAACGGCCAAGTTCCCGTGTCCAGAGTTTTTAATGATAGCGAAGGACTGTACAGAACGACTGTCTGCCGTTGACTTGTCCGTAGGCCTCATCATTCCGCGCGGCTAATGCGTTTCGGGTCACGTGGTCCGAGGGAGTTCGCCACCGAAATGCCTTGACTGAGATTGCGTGGGATAAAAGCTGTACAGGGACTAGGCATGGCAATGTCTACCGTAGCGTCGGAGAAAAACAGGAAATTGTTGTTTATCAGCAACGTGTTTTACAAACAGTGATATCTCTGCGTGTTGTTTCACTAGTGTTTTCAAATAATAATCCCCAGTAAGAAGCCACACTTTCGCTATGGAACAAATTACATGGAAATGGAGACTAGGTCTAGGTCACAACTTACAGGCGTAATGGCGTAACGTACGTACGGAGTCACAGAACTTGGGAAATAAAAAACGCATTCCGTAAGTGAGTGTAGCACCTTCCTTAAAATTAACAAATCTAGGGAAAAAATTTCTTTACGGTTAACTCTTGTTTACCGTATTTACGGCTAACGGTTAAAAATTTTCAATTTTTACGGCTATCGACTAAATTTTTGGCCGTTTTACGCCTATCGATTAACCCCATTGAAACCCTCATATTTGTATGTTCAAGGTTTTTTTAAATGTAGCTTTTAGAAGGCAAGCATAATATTGCAGACCACATCCCTCCTTTGGTTGACATCTTTTCTTTCACCAAATTAAATGATTATACTCCAAATCTGCCACATTTTGACTACACGACATTTCCTCACCTGGTTAGAATGTTTAAAAGAAATTTGTTTAAAGAATATCAGGAATATTGGTCGAAAAGTCTGAAAAAGGATAAATTCGACTCCTCAAATGGCAATAAATTAAGTCTGTATAGTGAAGTGAAAAACGAAGTCAGATTTAAATCTTATCTTGATTTAATAAAGAACGTTAAGACAACAGTGGCAGTAACCAAAATGCGAATTTCTTGCCACTTGCTACCTATTGAATCTGGGCGCTACAGGAAGACACCCAGAGTTGAGAGGCTTTGCCCCCTTTGTAATAGATCCGAAATTGGTGATGAATTCCACTACAGTAAAAACCCACAAGTAAGAACCTAAGATTTAAGAGCCTGTTAGGCTAAAATTTGCAATTTAGACCACCTCTATATAAGAACCTCTTTAGCCTAAAATTTGGAGAAAGGTAAAAATATTTACTAATTGCAATTGCAAAAGGCAAGTTAGCACATATATAAATTTTGTTTGATTGAGGTCATTGAGAAAATGTTTATAATATTGTGTTTTACAGCACAATCATGTATATAAAGTTGTTTTGACTCAAGAAATTTAAATTCATGTGAGAATAGATCTCTATTACGGTCATATTAAAATATAAGCAACATTAGGTATAAGCAACATTAGGGGTGCTGATCGCTAAAATCTTCTTAGCATCGACATAATTTTTTGCAAGAAATTAAGAACCTATTAAGAACCTAGATAGCCTAAATTTATGTTAACCACCATTTATGTAAGAACCTGTTTAGGCTAACCCTGGAAAATGTAGGTTCTTACTCGTGGGTTTTTACTGTATTTGTTGAAATGTACCCACTCATCACTTTCTCATATAAGGGGTATCTTCTTGGAGAGCCTATACTCGATAAACAGTAATTTTACGAATATGTCTTGAAAGGCACTAGTTTTATATATCATGTCTATGTGCGATGAAAACATCATAAATCTCAGTGCCTCTTATATTGAAAATATTATAAATTGTTATGCATCCGAACTCTAATTAAACTTTCTTACCATACGAGTAGCGTAGAAGCCGTACATAGCCAAGTAATTTTTCTTTTATGATAATATTCAATCGTTCCTTTCTTTCTTACTTAACTTTTATTTTACTTTTTTTATTTGTTATTGTTCTGGTACTGAAATCTTCAGGTCGAAGGAGAAGTCAATAAAGTTGTTTTTTTCACCGAACAAATTTAATAAACCTACCTTATAACCACGCATCTATTTACCACTCTTAGATGATTGCATAACACAAAAATTCATTTACATGTTGAAAAAGTGATGATAAAAAGTGATGAGCCAATTGACATTTGGCCATTCGGCTTAGCCGCAACGAAGCTAAGTTTTGTACAATGAGCTCATGTCAAGGGGTGATTTAACAACCAACCTGGTTTAAGAAACCCACTGATAAGAAGGAAAACCTCTAGATACTAAATTCTTGTCATAAGTGTATTAGAGAAAGTTGGCAAATCCCGGTCTTTGATCTCCACTTATTATATTTAGGATAATGTGATTTGCTTTTTGCCCTCAACCGTCTTTCCAGAAAATTCTTTCATTTTTGGAATGTATCACAAGCGTATCCCGCTTCGTGATAGCTCTCGACCTTTTCAAGTTCTCAGGCCATAGTAGAACCTGTATGCGACTTGCTTATATATCATTACATTACATTATGGGAATTTTTAGTGAAAGATACTAAGTGAGTTAGGTAATATGCATGTTAGACTTATCGACTCTCAACCTAATCCACTGAACTGAATCAAATAATTTTCCAGCGGCGTGATGCTACCTAGCCTGCTGCAGGTGCGTTCTTGCCCTACAAACATCCTACTGCATGATCAGCCCTCCCCCGGTTTCAAAAATTAAAGATGGCGACTTCACCGCACGGGAAAAGGCGATCGCTCGCCCGAAAAAATACGCCTTTATTGCAGGCTACACAATGTAATAAACGATGAGAATCCTTAACAGCTTATAAAATCGTCAGCAAAAATAGGAGACGGCGGTATGATTACAGTTTATATTAAGTATTAGTTAACTGCTTTCTTTAACTGCCGGATGGGTGATAATGTACGTAAATAATGACAAAGGCGTTGACGATGTTTAATCAGAGGACCGCGCGGGGGCCTGATGTCTGTTGTTTTATACTGACACATCCTGAAAGGTTACTTCTAACTGAGCAGAGGCCTCTTTTCCGCTCTGGAGAGGCAGATCAGAACTTTATTTATTTATTTATTTATTTTTGGCTATTCAAAACCTCGAATGTGTATGTAGATAAAAAAAAACAGTTCTAAAACAAGCGAAATTAAAATGAAACATATAAAAATAACATAAACCTTTTTTAACCAATCATTGGCTCCAGATAGTCATAATGAATAAGTTAATGTTTGTTTGTTATCCTTGGCTAGTGAACTGAAACTGTGTCCACCGTCAATGCAAACATTATACGTGTAGACACTTTTTTGACACGCGAACGTGATTTGGCCGAATTTCTATTCATCTATTCAAAATCCTCTCACTTAGGAGGCACTCTATTTCAACTATGGATTGCAAGTCATGCGGCTACTTTTACGTTTGTTTGAACAAATTAACAACAACCGATAAGGTCATTTAATCCGTCGAACCAAACCGCAAAGAATAGACACTGCTAAGCTTGGGTCAAAAGGGCAGAAAAAAATGCGCATCACTTAACTACTTTAAGAATTGTTACGTTGTTTTGTGTTTTAAAAGTTCAAATTGCTCATTAGTAGTGGTTGCGTTCAACTAGTTCCAAGAAGGCATCGAGACAATTCACTGGCACAAGCCAAAAACACTGTCTTTAGGTAACGCAGCAATAAGGTAACTATAATTCAAATTTTCAGCTTCACAACGAGTGTATTTAGTTTCTTTGCATATATAGTCAGTGTATAGTTAAGTTACTGCACCATTTCCACTGAATTCAAACCGATATTAACTCCACCACTCACACCTGAGCAATGATTCTGATATAAGATTTCGTTTTTTAGCTTTAACTGTTTGTTTGATGCGTGGATGGCCTACTGACTACTAATTTGGTTGTCTCTAGAATTTGGACTGAATATCATCGCCAGGGAATGCTATCCACTATATGATACAGATAAAAGAATGAAATCGGCGATATTCGGTTGCAGTATTTTGGTTCTCACTATTCTTGAGTGGCAAGGAAATGCAGGTAAGCTTTAAGCATATTACAAGACATAAGGCCACTAGATTAGCACTTGATTAGTTACTTCGTTCATTTTCTTTTTATTGTCAGTTGGCTTGCGTTTAACCTCGTAACTTTAAGGACAGAATTTCGTTATGGTACACCGACTTCCGACCAAATGGACCAAATGGTTAATCCATCCGTAATAATCCTCGGCTCAACTTTGTTCTTTCTGCTAATTGATTTAACTTAAGTTATGTAATATAACATCCAGAGTAACAAGTAAGATCTATAATTTTGATATTTTCGGTTACAAGTGCTCAGTTCCGTAAACTGAATCCAGCCTCAACCGTCTAACCCCTTTTCGCAGTCTATCTGAATTCACATTTAGCTATCCGTGAAATTAGTCACTACGCAAAAGAAGGAATATATGCTTCCAAACGGCTTGATCGATATTTATCATTTCGTTCAGGATTAACATGTGTGGAAACAAACATAACAGTTATATGAACGATCTCGACAGCTTATGCTTGGAATGTTCCTGTTAATTGTAAACGATTTCGCATGTTGTAACTTCAGGGGACTGCAGACAGCATCAAAATATTTCAGAAGTCTTCAACGGAACTTATTTAGCGTTTCCAGCGTTTTAATCTCGCGTTTTCAACACTGAGAATGTGAAAACGTCATTAAACTACCTTTCAATCGATATTTTAGAAGCTCTGGATCTTTAAGTTTCATTTTGGGATCATTTCTGTCGTCATTTATTCATTTATTTATAAGCAGATGTCAACGGAGGCATTTATCGCGTCTGGCTTTATGCCACAGCCCTTAGTATCTGGCTACTGGTCTTGCATTGTAACTGGGAAATCGCGAAGTGTCAGAGCTCCGGTGTTTTGTGTTGAATCATAGAATCATGTTTTGTTTTTTTTTTTCAGTATGAAATACTATTGAAAAACGAATACTCTAACAATTTTACAACGACAATATGTTTCGAAAAAAAGGATCTAATATAAACTTGTGTTGCTGTGAAAAATTAAGCCCCTAAAAAGACAAGTGAAAGAGGGTGTATATTAAATGAATAAATATTTTTTTCCTCTGATTATTTACCTCCACCACCCCACCCGCTGCAGTAATCATTCTGTCGTTACATGAACAACTCCTCTTTGTATGCTTCGATGTAGATGAAAATATAATGGAAAATCTTTCCATGCCTTTACTTTGAACGTACACACACTAATCGCAGAACACCAAGCTTTGAAACTGATAGACATGATTAACTTTTACTCTAAATTTTTAGAAAAAAAACCACAAGCACACGCTCGATCTCTCTCTTTCTTTACTCGCAACACAAACAGATGAACAGATGTACAAGACAACAAAGCTATGTCTTCGCCAGAATGCATCAATTGTTGTGAGAGGCTAAGACTGGTGAAAAGTGAGTTGGCCTTTCAGTTTGCTAGACTAATATGCGTGCACAGCTTTCGCCAATTTCACAAATAACTCGTAAATCAGATGAAACTGACGTGTGTAGGACGTAATTGGTAAGCGAATCAAATTTTTATCACGTTTCTTGATACATGTAGAAAAGAAACTAGGTGAGTTACGTATCTAGAGATAGGTGAATCATCTCTTTGTGCTTTTCTTTTTCTCAGTACATTCTCAGGTTTTATTTAATTCTGCTGCCCACTACTGGCCTTTTAATCGAGAGACAGGCATTGTCGATAGCAAAACCAATGTTACTGGAGTCAAATACGGTCAAACGAAAAACATTTACTACAAGGGGCCTGGATATGGCTTTCTTCATACAGACGGTAAGGCCTGGATAGATCTGGGAAACTTCACTGATTCATGTTTAGTGGAGCCGGCGCGATGTCAACCAGCTCTGACTGTTTTCCTTTGGCTGAAATATGCCCAGAATAAAAACTGGACATACTTCGTGGGTACATCGAGCCATCTTACCTATTCAAAGGGCTTCACAATATACAAAGAATCTGATAAAAGAGCCAAGGACTCTATTGTTTTGAGAGTGAATGATGGTCAACGAGAATGGTCAGGAAACCTTACGTTAAAACCGAAAACTTGGTCCCACGTGGCTTTCACTTGGGATGCCAGTTCAGGTTTGGCGCTGTTTCAAAACTGTCGTCAAATGGCGTTAATTTGGGAGAGTAAACTTCAAACACCAATAAGAGGCAACCGATCAAATATTCTGGAACACCATCTGACTCTGTCTGGCGCACAAAACAATGACCCTAATTTAGGCTCCAAGGCATCTTATGAAGATCTGGCCGTGCTGTACAGGAAGATAAAACCAGCCGAATGGGACCTGATTTGTCACCATAAATTAGGTCAGTTTGCTACTGATAAATGAGGTGTCTTAACTTAAAATTACCCTCAGAATGAACTCTCTACATGGACTCGAGTATGGTCTATTTATTACTTTGCAAAAAGTCAAGGCATTTAGTAAAAGTTTGCATCAGCAGTGTTCCCAAAAGCACCTCCCATGCACTTTATTGTTGGCTTAAAGTAGACCTGTCAAAATTCAAGAAAAAAAGAGGTAATGATAAGCAAGGTGGGGTGTTTTACACAAAAAGAACAGGTAATTGGCCTCCCAACTTAGAAAATATTCCAAAAGGTTGAGTTTGATCGTCCGGGTCAACGTAGTCCTGAATAGGGGCTGTTTTTGTTGACAGTGACTGACGTTTCGACAACCTGTGCGGTAGTCATCTTCAGAGTCAAAGTGAAGTCTTTGACTCTCAAGATGACTACCGCACAGGTTGTCGAAACGTCAGTCACTGTCAGCAACAACAGTCCTATTCAGGACTACTTTCACTCGGACGATCAAACTCAACCTTTTGAAATGACTCCTGGGTTCAAACCGTTCACAGTTTTAGAAAATATTGCTTCTCTTTCTGCCCCAGCTAAAACATGACAGACCAAGGGCAAGTTACCCCTAGCACATACCCATACCCACTTTCGTAGAGAGAGATAATGTGAAAATGAAATCAAATAACAAGGGATAATTCTTGCTTTCGTTAAACAGAAGCACCTCAGATCAACATCACTTGTCAAAGTTCTAAGAGATGGCTTACAGTCAGTTGGAGGCCACCACCGATGACTTATGATATATTAACAGGGTACAATGTGTGGCACTGGAGCGAGATTTTCAATTGGTCGAAAATATCGGTGGAAAGCGGAGTTACGTTTTATAATCTTAGTAACCTGAGTAAGTACATTGGAGTATCTTTAAATTGCAGGATAACTTCAAGAGAGGATAAAGGGGACAGAGAAGGCATCCCCCGTACACACCCTATTCCATAGGTAATTCGTCTCGAGTTATTTTTAAGACCACAGATCCCAAGGGGGATAAGACAACAGCCAATCGCATAGCGCGAATGTGTTCCGCGTGGATGACCCACGCTCAGAGCCACGCGTCCTTCACGAATTGACGCTGAAAAATATGGCGCAAGACGCGGAGAGCGATATTGCTATTCGTTTGGTCGACGAAAACGACTAAAGAGAGATTTCTGCTAAAGCTGTGTCAGCGAAACGGAAATTAAAAAAGAATCGCCCTTCCTCTCTAGTATAGAGCTAACAGTACAGCAGGGAAATCCTTAACAGACTGAATATTCTGTCAGGATCATTTATAATTTACAGTTTGAAGAGAGCAATTTCTGGTTTCATATTTATTCTTTTATTAGTCTTTTACTATTCAACAAAAATAACACTTGGCGTCCTACTTGCTTTATTATACAAACGACCGGTTTCAATAGACCGGCGAAATTTCTCATTTTATTAAAGCACTGAGGTTACGACAACTTCGAGTTAAACTGATTTCACGGGTTTTCCTGGGTGAGCGCCGACTCATTTCGCTTCAATATTCAGGAATGCTCTCGATCTCGTTACGCTTTCATTGCCTTTCGCCCGACATGTTTTGGACGGCGTTTAGTCATGCGAAACCTCCACGAAACATCCACACAGCACGCGAGGTAACTTTACCCCAATTCTAAAAATAACTCGAGACGAATTACCTATGGAATAGGGTGTGTATGGGGGATGCCTTCTCTGTCCCCTTTATCCTCTCTTGATAAGTTACATAACTACACGAGCAGCAGCTTGTAAGTTTATTGAATATTTACTGTTAGGCTAGGGAAAAAGTCAGATCAATAAGGTGAAAAAAAATTATTAAATAAGTATGCATTTGCTCTTCTTCTTCTTCTTCTTCTTCTTCTTCTTCTTCTTCTTCTTCTTCTTCTTCTTCTTCTTCTTCTTCTTCTTCTTCTTAAGGCGCCGCGACTAATCGCGTGGTTTGTTGAGCTTGGGTCATCTGTGTGGTATTAATTAACAGAACTAAACTTTATCTTGCAGATCCAGGATCTTCGTATAAACTGTATGTCCAAAATATGTTCCGGTTCGGCTCTGGAAAAACTAGCAGCGTGATTGACTGCAGGACGGAAACTGAAGGTACTTTGATATGTTTATATACAGCTGTATACAGCTGTTTCAAAAAACGTTGTCGGAAGAAAAGCAAAAAGTTTAAGCCAAGGCTGAAAGGTAATATGGGATTTTTATAATGACCAGCTAGAGGTCCTATAGGAGTTTTGCGGCCACTCAATGGCCCTGAGAACAGTATGGAACGCCTTTCTGTAAGCCGTGAGAGGAGTTCCGTTGGACAGCTCTTAAAACAGAGGTGGTTGGAGGGCCTTCAAACAGTAGGGAGCTTCAGCAAATACAATGCGACAAAAGAGACTGTAAGCAACAATAGGTTTAAATGAGCAAAACAACAACTTAATTTGTACCTGCATCACGCTTTTTGTCCGTGGCCGTTGTTGCACGGCTACTGCTTGAAATGTCTCATCTTTTAGAGGGGAAGTAAACAGCAGACCCCAATTTTCTTTTCTCTTCTTTTTTTTTTTAACTTAAAACTAGTCCTGTGGAATTCATTTCCATAGGAATCGCCATCATTTAAAAATTGAACGAGGTGGAAGGCGATGTGGTTGTCCATACATTTTCACATGCTGGTGTAGTGCAGAATATTACCTGCAGTAGACTTCGGCGAGTTTTAATTAATTCTTGAGTGGGAACCATTATTAGGTTATAATATTTGTTTTCGCCCACTTCGTTAATACGTTATGCAAATTGATAAAATGAAAAATTTAAAGTCATTTTTCCTTGCTAATTAGCCGAACAAAATTGCTTTCAAAGATGGGAATAAGCAACAGTGCACTTCGACTGAAACGTAATTTTACCTTGTGCTTTTTAAAAAGTAAAATGATAAGTATGGTTTAGTGTAAATGACGAATACAAATCAGCGACCACTTTAGTGGAGCGATCGGTTTGCCAGCAAAAGACGGATTTGAAACAACCCACATTACCTTGCGGTCTTGGCTTGAAGACTTTTTGCTTTTCTTCCGACAACGTTTTTTGAAATAGCCGTTAAAGTGATTGGCACTTTTTTTCTGGATTAGTTTTGAACCCGCCCTTGAACATTAGTGTGGAAAAGACGTCATCTAGTGCAATCATGATCAAGTGGCTTCCTCCTCCAGGTAGTTTAAAAGATGTAATAGGATACAAGGTGAGCAGGATTTATCGATGTTCTTATTTATTTAATTATTTATTTATTTATTTTAAAATTTATCTTTCTAGGATATTCTTAAGACAGCCCTCTTTCATTGGTTAAACAATTTCATTTTTTATAAACAATCTAAACGATTAGGAAACCTAATTAAATTCAGCAACAGTGCTCTTATTGGTTTTTGGCGTATGTCATTAAACGCGTGCTTAGCTTATCCAGAGTTTGATACGATTGCTTCTTTCTCTGTGTACGCATTTGCCCGTGCTTGGGTTGCTAAATTGTGTTCTGCGAAACTCATGCCAGTTAATGTAAGAAAAGATATGAGCTTTTTGTCAGGGAAGAAAGCTATTTACTAAAAAAGGTGTCCCTTTTAAGCCAAGCAAGTATTCACCTTCGATCTAAATATTTACAGACTTGTTGATTCTTATTTTCTGTAGCTCAGTTAAACTAAATAGTGAGCTGTATATTATTTTAAACATTTCAGATAACGTACAGTGTTGTAAGCTCTCTTGAAAATCTCTACATTGCCAAAGTGGGTGCTGTAACATCGTTTCTCCTCACAGAACTACAAATGAATACAAGTTACATAGTACGAGTTTCAAGTTACGGTGATAAGCGATTTAATGACAGCAACCCCGCCTCAGTAACAGTAAAAACAGATTATGATGGTAAGGAAATTGTTGCATGCTAATTTCTTGTTTAAATTAATTAATTGGATGTAATTTATTTTTGAGTTTTAAATAAATTGAATTGAATAGAATTACCATCAAGTTCTGTTTGACCCTTTTAAAGACATTTCTTCCTATTATTTATATCATGTGATCAATTATAGTAATCTCTCTTTTTCCTTAATACGTTTGTTGGGCAATAAACGGAATGTCGACATTTGGTTTTTTTAAGCAATTAACACAACTCAATATTTCACGTTGCAGATAGAGCATCAGTTACCGAAACCTTTCTAGAATTAAAAAGCTCTACATTCTTGACCATAACATGGAAAAAGCCTAGAAATAAATACAAGAAGTTTTCTTACCGAACGTTTGCAAAGTGGAAAAGTCATGAAGGAGTGGAACATATTAAAGAAGTGTATACGGGCAATGCAACCACGTGTGATTACTTTCCTAAAGGAGGCCTTCCTAGCGGCAACCTTAATTTTGAAGTGTTCGCGTACGTGGTAGAAGAAATACCTCTCGTTAATATTGTGGGTATGTAAATGAAAGAAAATGTTATGTCTTACTTTTAAGTGAAATACGTGATAATGATTATATTCTAAGCTTGGGTTACCTATGACACTGAGTGTGTGTCGTCCAATAATCAATTAAAAGTTCTCTCAAATAAACTCTTTTTAAGCCTGTAAGCATAAATTGCTAATGCAAATCCCGTTCTTGTAGATCTATTGATAAGTAAGTAAGTAAGTAAGTAAGTAAGTAAGTAAGTAAGTAAGTAAGTAAGTAAGTAAAGGAATAAGAAAGTAAGTGAGTAAGTTAGGAAGGAAGGAAGGAAGGAATTTAAAGAGGGCTGAATGACCCTGTTGCCCTTAATGTGTTTTATTCTCACAAGTCTTAATAAAGGTACCAAAAATGCACACTCTGTCTATTTGGGATGGGACCCTGTGTGATAACTTTCAAGTCGTCGGCGATAGGTATCCTGTTTAAGCAGACGATCCTGAATGTGTTAAGGAAATGTCTTAGTATAGGTCACTTCTTTACGACATCCATTCGCTATTTCACTACATCTAAACATGACTTAATTTAAAGAAACCCACCATCTAAAATATCTCAATAACGTATGGTTTTGTATTTACTATTCGCATCCCTAGAACCTCCAAGAGATGTCGTCACTGTATCTGTGGGTTGGTCTCACTTAATTTTAAAGTGGATCTCGCCTTTTAATGGAACAGCCATCGACTTCGCTGATTCTTATCTCCTGATCGTCTCAACAAACAAAGAGAAGGTGATGAATATCACAACCACCAAGACGCATGCCCGAATTGATGGCCTAAAACAGATGACTTACTATTTAGTAAGCCTCCAGGCATGGAACAAACTGGGTTATGGTCCGCCTTTGAATCCAGATATACATTTCAGAACGCTAGGTAACAGAACAAGAAATGAAATTAACAATTATTCCACGAGTGCGCGTTGGATATGATGATGGTGGATAAAAGTAATCTCATATCCAACAAGCGTGAATGGGACAATTGTTTTATTAAAAACGCTCGCAAAATATCGAGAATTCTTCCCGACTTGTTTGTAAGAACAACCGATTTTCAGCTTGTGTTTTTAATTTTGAGCAGACACGTACCGTAACCATATTTGGAGAGCATGGTAAAATGACTATAATGGCTTATATATCCAATGATTCAGTTTTTAATGAAGGCAATATCAACTGTCTTGGTTCAAGTGAAATCGTTATGGCTTCGATATACCTTATGTTCAATTCAGTTTCTTAATTCTATGTAATTCATTAATTATAATAATTTAAAGCTGATTATATAGTGCTGCTCTTATAGTATCCGAACACATGACGGATTTGCTTTCGTCAAAGAAAATACAATCAATAATAAATCATGTAAAAAACAAAGAGTGTTTTTCGTGACAACTGTGCTTTATTCAAACTTTCTTTAGATCGCGATGAGTGCTCAGACAATTCCCACGATTGTGACGAAAACGCTATTTGTAGCAACACAAGAGGCTCGTATATTTGTAAATGCAAAATGGGCTTTATGGGAGACGGCAAAAACTGCGAAGGTATGTCGCTTGTTGGTCAGTATTATTTACTCTTTAAAGTGTCAAAAACAACAAAAATAAAATTGATAAAAACTGAAACAGCTTATTTCAAGATGAGAGAAAATGTTGGAATCAACCTTATTACCACAACCAAGTTCCTGATAAATAATTTTCCCTCTTTTTTTGGATCTTCGATTATGTGTATTGAATTATTCATGTCACACACACATTATACCAGGGGTCAATTTAATGAAACTTTGACACCTGTAATTTACCATTGTAGCTATTGTTCTCAGGCGCTAAAACAATGGCTACGCTTGTAAATTACACGTGTAAAAGTTTCATTAAATTGACCCCAGCCGCCTATCCTGATAATACATATTCACAGTAATTTAAGATGGAATCCATTAAGAAATTGAGTGATTTTAATTTTCAGTGAACAAAAACCTTGTATAAGAATATTTTAAGCCATATTGCATTCTTTTTTACACTTTTCAAGGGCTGTACATTTAAAATAGCTCTTTTTACGGATACAGCGGCCATATTGAATTTATTTGATTTAGAAGTAGGGGGCATGAGCACGGTTAGTTATCTGTAACAACATCAAAGACAATTTCTTACGGGAGCCCGAGAAAATATATTTCAAATTTCACAGGAATTGTGAAAAACAGGTAATATTCTGAAAATTTCTTTGTAACATGTCATTTTGTGAAATTTGACATTTTATTTTCTCGGGCTCTCATAAGAAATTTTCTTTGGTGTTATTACTATTAACTAAATACATCCATAGCTCTTGAAAAAATGCAAAAAAGGATGGGACATTGTTTAATTATCCAGATACAAGGTTTTTGTCCTCTGAAAATTAAAATTACTCAATTTCCTGATGGACTCCGCCCTAAATTTTCATAATAATTGTCTTAATTATTCGTGTAATATCACAAGAAAGGACGTTATGAAAGAGAAACGTCTACACATCGTTTTAGAGTAAATGAAATAAACAAACAAAAATGTGACTAAAACGTCACAATTTTACAATATTGCATATTGTACAGAGATTCCTGAAGGAGCGAAAGACGATGATTTCTGCCCGACCGAGAGTCTTGCTGGCATCGAATGGCATCAGACTTTGACGAAGCGCCAGGCAGTCACGACTTGTCCACCAGGAACTTTGGGTAACGGAACGTATTCCAAAAATAAGTTAATTAACAGCTATAAAACATTACTTAAAAACGTACCTAATCATATGTTACTATTAACGAGCGTTACGGGGAGGGAACACAACACTCCTAAACATCAGTCAGGTCAGCATACTAGGTAATCCCCTTGAAAAATATTCGAGGAAAAACAAGTACCAGGGCACCATTTTGTTTGCAAGATATGAAAGATATGGTCTCTCAGGAGGGTTGTGTTGCAGTTTGGAATGCAGATTATTCCTTGTCATCCTGCGGGTGCACTAAAAGCACGACACTCATTAATTTTCGGTACCGATTTCTGAACAGAATACTTCCCACAAACTAGTTTCTAACAAAGATCGGTATCAAGAAAGACCCAAACTGCTCCTTCTGCCGTAACACTGGGGAAAATCTCGTTCATCTTTTCTAGTATCGTTCAAATGTTTTAGCAAACGTTTTGGGTAAACTTGACTGATAAGCTTGATGATTGCGATTTTATACCTAGAGATCGAGACTACTCGAAAGATATAGCAGTTTTTGGGCCTAGAGTCCGATAGCTCTAAATTTCTCTTCAGTTAAACTTTTGCTTTGTACTAGCCAGACACTGTATCTGGGGTTGTAGAATCAGTAACAAGACCCATCAGCTAAAAATGTTTTTGAAGGCCCTTCAGTTCCAATATAAAATTGAATCCTACGAACAAGTCTCTTTGTAAAAGAAATGGGATCCTTTGGTCCCACTCCTCAATGTTAATTCTTAGCTTGCAGATTTATATTTGTTCCCAAGTGACCTGTATTCTCTTGAGACGGCTTTCTCGTATTTACATTGTTTCCTCATTCAGTACTGCTTACTACTAAGGGCTTTTAAAAAATATATATTGTGTTCAACTAACAGTTTTGATCTTTAAGAATATCTTATTTTATTATTACAACTGTTATCATTTATTCATTTATTTTTTATTACTTTTTTTTTGCAGCTTTACTTATTTACTTTTTTCTTATTTTTGTATTTTTGTATTTTGTACTGTAGAACTCCTCCACTCTTGTGCTCATTTGTTTATTTATTTAAAGAAAACGTTTTTAAACGTGTGGCTTTACGTCAACGGGTAAACGATTTAGTCGATGGTTTCTTAAAACGTTGATTCCGTACCAGCTACACATACGACGGCATGGAGACACTCTTTGTTGCGCCAAGTAATAGTTCTCTTTCATCATTTGGCCATCAGTTTTTGCCGCATGTCGCTCTGAAATTTAGCGAACCAATCTCGAGACTATAGCTATCGCTATAAGAGGCATAGGAAGCGGTAAATCGATGCAAAACGCTTTAGTGTCTAATGTTCACTGTCTCTCTATTTCACTGATCATCAAGTACTTAANTGAGTGATTTTAATTTTCAGTGAACAAAAACCTTGTATAAGAATATTTTAAGCCATATTGCATTCTTTTTTACACTTTTCAAGGGCTGTACATTTAAAATAGCTCTTTTTACGGATACAGCGGCCATATTGGTTTTGAAGTATTATGGGATGCCCAGGGGGCATTGAGCACGGTTAGTTATCTGTGACAACATCAAAGACAATTTCTTACGGGAGCCCGAGAAACTATATTTCAAATTTCACAGGAATTGTGAAAAACAGGTAATATTCTGAAAATTTCATTTGTAACATGTCATTTTGTGAAATTTGACATTTTATTTTCTCGGGCTCTCATAAGAAATTTTCTTTGGTGTTATTACCATCAACTAAATACATCCATAGCTCTTGAAAAAATGCAAAAAAGGATGGGACATTGTTTAAATTATCCAGATACAAGGTTTTTGTCCACTGAAAATTAAAATTACTCAATTTCCTGATGGACTCCGTCCTAAATTTTCATAATAATTGTCTTAATTGTTCGTGTAATATCACAAGAAAGGACGTTATGAAAGAGAAACGTCTACACATCGTTTTAGAGTAAATGAAATAAACAAACAAGAATGTGACTAAAACGTCACAATTTGAAAATATTGCATATTGTACAGAGATTCCTGAGGGAGCGAAAGACGATGATTTCTGCCCGACCGAGAGTCTTGCTGGCATCGAATGGCATCAGACTTTGACAAAGCGCCAGGCAGTCACGACTTGTCCACCAGGAACTTTGGGTAACGAAACGTATTCCAAAAATAAGTTGATTAACAGCTATGAAACATTGCTTAAAAACGTACCTAATCATCATGTTACTATTAACGAGCGTTACGGGGAGGGAACACAACACTCCTAAACATCAGTCAGGTCAGCTAACATACTAGGTAATCCCCTTGAAAAATATTCGAGGAAAAACAAGCACCAGGGCAGATTTTTCGCTTAACTTAGATGGAATACCACACTTTGTTAGTTTAAAAGAACCATTTTGTTTGCAAGATATGAAAGATATGGTCTCTCAGGAGGGTTGTGTTGCAGTTTAGAATGCAGATTATTCCTTGTCATCCTGTGGGTGCACTAAAAGCACGACACTCATTAATTTTCAATACCGATTTCTGAACAGAATACTTCCCACAAACTCGTTTCTAACAAAGATCGGTATCAAGCAAGACCCAAACTGCTCCTTCTGCCGTAACACTGCGGAAAATCTCGTTCATCTTTTCTAGTATCGTTCAAATGTTTTAGCAAACGTTTTGGGTAAACTTGACTGATAAGCTTGATGATTGCGATTTTATACCTAGAGATCAAGACTACTCGAAAGATATAGCAGTTTTTGGGCCTAGAGTCCGATAGCTCTAAATTTCTCTTCAGTTAAACTTTTGCTTTGTACTAGCCAGACACTGTATCTGGGGTTGTAGAATCAGTAACAAGACCCATCAGCTAAAAATGTTTTTGAAGGCCCTTCAGTTCCAATATAAAATTGAATCCTACAAACAAGTCTCTTTGTAAAAGAAATGGGATCCTTTGGTCCTACTCCTCAATGTTAATTCTTAGCTTGCAGATTTATATTTGTTCCCAAGTGACCTGTATTCTCTTGAGACGGCTTTCTTGTATTTACATTGTTTCCTCATTCAGTACTGCTTACTACTAACGGCTTTTAAAAAATATATATTGTGTTCAACTAACAGTTTTGATCTTTAAGAATATCTTATTTTATTATTACAACTGTTATCATTTATTCATTTATTTTTTATTACTTTTTTTTTGCAGCTTTACTTATTTACTTTTTTCTTATTTTTGTATTTTTGTATTTTGTACTGTAGAACTCCTCCACTCTTGTGCTCATTTGTTTATTTATTTAAAGAAAACGTTTTTAAACGTATGGCTTTACGTTAACGGGTAAACGATTTAGTCGATGGTTTCTTAAAACGTTGATTCCGTACCAGCTACACATACGACGGCATGGAGACACTCTTTATTGCGCCAAGTAATAGTTCTCTTTCATCATTTGGCCATCAGTTTTTGCCGCATGTCGCTCTGAAATTTAGCGAACCAATCTCGAGATTATAGCTATCGCTATAAGAGGCATAGGAAGCGGTAAATCGATGCAAAACGCTTTAGTGTCTAATGTTCACTGTCTCTCTATTTCACTGATCATCAAGTACTTAATTTGTCTCGTTATTTTTTGTTTGTAAGGCACGGCTATGAGACTCTGCTCAGGAAATCCAGCGGTCTGGCATTTACCTGACCTCAGCAATTGTGTTTCAAAATGGATGTATGATATCAAAAAAATGGTAAGCACTGGGTTAGCACTGATGAGTTGATGCCTTTGTGGCGAAAAAGGAAGAACACCACTCCTACCCTCCCACTGTTGATCTGAATTTAAACTCGATAGGGCAGCCAATAAGTTTGCTTTGTGCTATCCAGATGGGATGATTGGCTCAATCAAGATGGACGCATTGCATCAGGTCATAAATTATGACCTAAAACTCGCAAATGTTCCCTTATGATTCACGTGGTATATCAACTCATCGGATAACCGAAAAGTTATTTCGGATACCAAAAGCTACTGACAAAGTCGAATATTTAGAAAACTGATTTCGTATTTCATAAGTATTTCACCTTCCGTTTTCCATACTCCGCATAACCCTTCCTTGTACATCTGTCCCTTTCAGCTGGATAATTCAAACGTCAGTCTTGCTTCACTGGCCAATCAGCTTTCAAATCTCACAGATGTCAAGAACGGGAAACCATTGTACGCAGGAGATCTAAAACTTCTAGTAAATATCATAGGAGTGTTAACGCAGAGGGGACCTGGGACTAGCAAAAACGGGAGCACCCAAGAGACGTCACAGACGTTTCTAAAGGTAGTTTGTCATGTTATTCAATCTATTTTATTCTATTCTATTATTCTAATAAACCTAAAGAAATCCATCGCGTGTTGTTCCTTTTCCGTTCCTTTTTCAGGATGTTGTGGGGACTGCGAGCAACATTCTAGATGAGAAAAATCTTCAGACTTGGAATTACATGTCGAAGGTGAGAAGACAATCACTTAGGTTGCTACCTAATGCCTGATATGCAAAACGCATTTTTTTCTAATTAACACTTGAACTAGAAAAGTTGAAAATTGAGGTTTGAACAGCTAAGCTATCTCAATATTTCTGCCTCTATTTTCAGACCTAACCAGTTATTTTCCAGCGGTTGGCATTTAATGTACCCATTTCAGGGCAGAGTGGTTTGATTGGTTTGCTGGTTGTCTAAGTCTTTTTTGATCTGCTTGAGAGACTTTTCTTTACTGGGCTAAAAACAGATTGTATTATTTACTTAATGATCTAATGTTGCTGTGTTTCATGTAAAGGAATCTCAGACAACGCAAGCAAGTTCACTTATTGACAGTCTGGATGTACTGGCATTAGACATGGCCAATTCCTCGCAGACAAATGTGACTGAAATGGAAAATATTGGTAGGTATTCCCTAAATATTGAGTACCCGCCTTTAAAATTATCTGCCTACCCGGTCCATCCGTTTTGCTCCCTAGTGACAGACTTGTCTATTTTTTGAAACCCAGCGATAGTCGCTTGACAGGAACTAAACAGGTACACCTGTGCTTTTTCTTCAATTTTTGATAAGACTTTTATAGGCCTTGAAATTATCAACCGAGCAACCTCAGTCAATTATTAATCTTTAACTTTTTGTTTGGTAACAATAAGCGTTTTCCAAAATTAGTACAAAACTGTATGAAAGAAAAGCCTTCCATTAGACCCAAAGTTGATAATTATATGATCGTTCTAATTTATCCTTCTAGTAATGACTGTGACATCTCTGGATCATATCAGAGGCTCAAAAAGCCTCGTTATGGAACAACAGGATGAGGAGGACAATTCCACTGCCAATGCAGTGTCTTTTCCAGCTTCTGTATTGAAACAAAATTCTTCAACTGGTATGGGCTGAAAACAATTACTAGATTTAAGTATGATTACTACTACGGCACTAACAAAAAAAGGCCAACGGAGAGGAGACACTGTGTGTCGGCTTTGTATCGGAGCTACCTCAAGGAGTTGACTGATGCCCATCTTTCTAGGGTTCATGGCCTTTATAATCAACTCTCTAAGTAACTAAGTTAATTTCCCGGGGGGGGGGGGTAATCCCTACGATGGCCTATACAGGGAGGCTCCGCCCGAAAGGGGTATCTTTTTCAGGCTTCAGGTATATCAGAGGGTAGGGATTTCACTAATTGTATACAAGTATACAAAAAGGTAGGGAAATCTGTCATTTGGGTCTGTGAAAGGGCCCAAAAGGGCTAACAGATTAATTTCATGGCTTTAAAAAGTCGAGAAAAAGTTTTGTGACCGTGCAATTACAACAGTTAAAAGGGATGCAAAGTTCTAAACGAGGTATGTGTAAAGGGTACCATTTGTCAATAGAAGGTATATGAAAGTGGTACCTTTTCCGTGAAAAATGGTACATAAATGGGTAAGGGGTTGGACCTCGGGGCGGAACCTCCCCGTATAAACATTTGTTGAGTATTTTGCCCTTACTGGATTAAGAATAAAGTACAGAACAACCAATATGTATTGTAGGTTCCAAACCTGGTTTTGCCACCTTTGTGTCGTATAAAACGCTGGGTCCCTTGCTGACGCCGAGAGGCAAAAACAGGTATTGTCTGCTTTGAAGCATCATATTTTAATGTTTTAGAACAACTGAGTTGATTCTTCATATTTCTATCAAGCTTATCTTTAACTTGATGTACATGTACTATGATATAGACATGCAAATTGAAAGAGTTTCAATGGCGCGTAAAAAGTTTACATATATCTTATCTTACAAACTACAGCATTGTACACAGCCCTCTAACCATTCAAAAGAATAAGGAGGTACTAATAGTGCTTAATCTTGGCTTTTCCCTCCAGAGTTAACAAAGTCGTTATTCAACGTGTGAATCACTTTGAACACAAAACTAAAATCACGACATCTTTAAGAATAACCCATATTTTCTCTTTTCTAACAGAGTAAATGAGCAACAAGAAGAAGTACCGTCTATAAACTCGGCTGTTGTATCTTTAAATCTTCGCCCACTTACCGCAAACACGTTTAAAGATCCCGTGATAATAACGTTACGTCACACTGTGGTATGTCTATCTCGCGATCTATTTATTAAACAATAGGATACCAGATGGTAACACTGAAAAACAGAGCGGTTTCAACTAAGTGCCATACAATTAATGAAACATTTACTCCAGCGTGTGACTCCTGGCTACTATCGCTGACCAATTTTTTCACCTACTTAGTCACAACTTGTGTTAGCATTGGCAGACCACAGAAATCACTGTTCAGCTTTTATGGCCACTCATTTGAAATTAGGCTGCTTTGGCTATACCCGGTGCATGCGTTTTGTAAGACAAGTTAAGCTCGCATTTTTCAACGACTTATTACAATAGCATAAACTAAGAAGTTGCGAAGTAAACACTGCAGCAACTTCAGCCTGAATCCACAGCCATTACGTCAAAAGAAAAAAAAGCAAATTGAGCGGTTTCAGTGAGCGCTGGACGAAAAGCTCGATAGTGCGCGTCATTACGCTTACGAATCGCATAGGGAAACTCGCGCATGCACGATAGAATGTTAGACGATCGTCGGCAGAGGCTCCTTTCGCACGCTATTAGCGAGAAGAAAGCCTCTTCTTGCAGGTAATTCAATTCTAATCTTTTAACTTCAGGTCAGCAAGAAGATAAGAAGAAAACCATCATGTGTTTTTCTGGAGGTTGACAAGTAAATAAATTGTTTTTAAAGTTTGAAACATCTCTTTCAAGCCAAAAAAATACCTCTCATGAATTAATTTTGGAGTTCCGCCCTTACTCTCTTTTCATTTTAACTGTCTTCGAATTCCCTTGCGGGATATCACAAATTTAAAAGAAACTTAAGAGACACATAGTTTTATGGCTCTACTTTGAATCTACTTTGAATTAGTGTGAAGAAAAACGCACTAGAAGAAATTTCATAGTCTAGTACAACAATGTTGTTCTAGTGAACTGCCTGGGTTCGTTAAAATAGAAATATTCTACATCAAGTTTTCTCTTTTTGAGTTGCAACAAAACAAACCACGCTCTAACCGTTTTGTAGTTGATTCCTCTCTATTCGGTCAGTGATAAAATCTGGAATCTGATCTACGTTTATTTGATTCCCTTTCCTTTAGAAATGGAAGTTGGTCTGAAGCTGGGTGTCATGTTAATTCAACAAATATAACTCACACTGTTTGTCACTGTTTTCACCTGACGAGCTTCGCAGTGTTAATGAGCGTCAAAGAGGATATATCTCAAATATCAGTGAGTAATTTTCAGTTTTTAAGGCAGGGGCTTGCCATAAAATTAGGCCCCTTTTTCATTTCATCGATAAAATTCAAAACTTTTTCTCGTGTGGTAGTCCATATTCTTCTTCTACAAAATCAGTGGCGGCCTTGTTAGGGTTGAGAGAAGACATAGGACTTGGATCTGAAGGCCGGGTTTAAGAATTGTTATCCGACTCGAATTTTCTCCTTGTTCATGCGAATGATACTGGCGTAAGCTTCGATCGGCTTCATTAGCCGTAAGTACGCCTTTGACTTTTCTTCATCTTAGAAGAGCATCCATGTATGATGGCAAAATGACATTTTCCAGTTATTTGTAATTACTTAATGTCATCCCTTTTAGATGGCAAATGCGATTCCATTTATTGTAATCACGTTGATGGATTTATGGCATTTCTTTCATACCAATAACATCGTTAAAGTGAACACTGTGATATTTGTTTTTTGTTTCCAGAAAGGGCATCAACTTGCTTTGAGTCTTATTACTTATATTGGCATTAGTATATCAATAGTTGCGTTGTGCCTCGCATTCCTCACTTTCCACTTCTTTAGGTGAGTTGCTAGCTTCTTCTTAACTTAAACCCTGTACAACAGTGAAAGATGCTTATGATTAGTATTACTCTATACTCATACATCACAGTCTAAATGTTTTCAGTATGAGTAAAGTTTGAAATAAGTGCAACAATCGTTTATTGTTTGACACATAAGCCGCACGCCAGTACAATGTGCAGTGTACAATGGTCTAAGCATTTCAGTGTCATTGAACTGAAGAATATATTATCATAGAGAACAACCTCAAGACGACTGCTTATAACTAAAATTAAATTCTTTCGAAAAAAATTTAAGAAGTTTAATCTTAAACTATGTTCCCGATGTTTCACATGTACAAAACCTATTTAAGTGAAGGGAAGGTGCCCCTACTAAAGGCGCTTCCCTCAGAAAGCCAAATTTTAATACATTATTAGAAAACGTGTTCTTTTGTTGCAAAGATAGCTCACTTTATAAAATAACTGAGATAGAACGCGCGAATTGATTGGTCAAAAACCCATAGTTTATTATACCCGTCCGGTAAACCTATAGAAAACGGCATCCACACCACGAGCCTTTACACAAAACCGGCCATTGAATTGCAAACAACGATTTTATAAAATCTCAAAAAGAGATTAATTATTTATCCAGTACGCCTCTCTTTTAAAAAGCGTTGGTTTGCACATTTTCTTACTGTTTACATTTTATTATTATTTTTATTACACTATTGGCTGCCGCCATAGTTTTAAATGTTATCAAGTACAAAGTTTAAATTCACATTTCGCGACGATGCGAAATCGCAAAGACTACAATTGTGTGAACTTCTGGTGCAGAAAGTTTCGAGAAAAAATTAAAAAATTTAAACCGATAGTTCAAGCATTCTTGAACTCTTTCTTACTTCAAAATTAAATTCTTGAATGAACGGCATTGTTCCTATAAGGACTGATCAAGTTCTGGTAAAAAATCGGCCGCTGCAGGTTGTAAATAAGCTGTCAATGATGATGAAAGATGTTAGTTTCAAGGTAGTTTTTTCCAGCATATGCATGCACAAACCGTTCGGTAATGTCAATGCCGTAATCTTACCCAAACTATCTGACTTCAAAAATCGGCAACTAATCCTGCCTCTAAGTTCAGAGCTACCACTGACATGCCGTCGACGGCTGTAGGTGCATACATGAGACAACTTTGCAAATGCGGCCACGTCGTTACTGCAGCAGTTGTTGGTCATGAAAGACTCCAGAGAGGTCTTGAACATTGCAGCTTGTGAAAAGTGAGGAAGTCGTTCATTACTATAGCTGCCAGTTCCGTCCAGAAAAAACCGATCGACTCAACAAAACACAGCCGCGTACAATTTCATGTTCAATCTCCTGCTTCTATATTGAAAAAATATATATATTCTTTCATTGTACATTCGCATAAATGTGTGTCGACTTTTCCTGCAAAACGGCTTACATAAGTTCTCGATAAGTGTAAAAACGTCAACTGAGTTTTAAGTTCGGCGCTAGAAAAATCGTGAGTTGTGATTGGCTTACGATGACTGTAGAGAGAAGACACGACTTGATCACGATATTTAAACCACATCTTTTGCCTGTAAAACTCCATTTTACTAAAAGTTATTTTATAAAAGCAATAGACCACACTTTCTATGGGTCTACCGGCGTGATAACCCACTCGGGATGTTGGGAGAACACTCGAAAAGCTTGTAAATCACTCTCCTTAAGGTTTTCTCGTGTTCTCCCAACATCCCACGTGGGTTATCACTCCAGCCTGTAACCCCAGAGAAAGTGTGGTCTATTGCTTAAATACATTGCGCATAGACACTTTTCACTTAAAAGCGGACCCATTTTAGCCTCTATCCCAGTAACACGATTTGCCCCTTACTCTTCATTCAGTCAAACTGGATTTCAGTCTCGTTTTTAAGAACGTGAATGACAACTACCAATTGGGCGAGCATCGGTTGAAATTGTATGAATAATGTGAGTCACGTTAAAATAAAAAATACTGCTTCTTTACCCACTCATCGTGTAAATGCGTTTCATTTTGACAGGTTTTCAAAATCTGGCCGTACGTTTGTTCACAAGAATTTGGCAATATCGATGATTTTTGCCCAAGTGATATTTTTGTTTGGTATCAACAAAACAGGCAACAAGGTAGGCTATACTGCTTTTCTGTATACTCTGTTATTTAATAAGTTGAATTCTTAAATCCATGTAAACTGAAGATTGTGGCTCTAACAAAAACGTTTATTCAGCCGATACTGCAAAGTAATATAATTTTATTGCCATAAAATCGAACATCGTAGAACCAGACTGGGAACAATTTCCTTCATTTGAGGGATGGTCTGTGTATTGATGAGAGGTAGGCCATAACCTGGATTTCGGCGGAGTCTCAATTAATTCAAAGACCTATTGCCAAAAGAAAAATACCTACAGATAACTTATACCCTGAAGCTGAGAATCGTGCCCCAACTGAAACTTTTCTATTCTCCCTCTCAAGACTTCTCACGATTTACCCATGGTTACCATGGATCACATCAGTTGTATCATATGTTCCGAACCAAATAGCATGGAACTTTTTTTTCTTTTTCCTTTCTTTTCTTTCTTCTTTTCATTTTAGTTGGCTTGTAAAGGAGTATCTATAGCATTACACTATTTTTTCCTGGTATCATTTGCCTGGATGGCACTAGAGGGAGTTATGCTCTATCTGATGCTGGTGAAAGTATTTCACACTAAAACCGCACCTACAAGAAGCAAAAAGATTTTCTTTTGCGTTGGCTGGGGTGAGTAATTAAAGAGGCCAGGCAAGTATGAATAGGGTTCTTTAATCCTTTCTTGTCAAGAATACATCGTGAGGTTGCGTATCATGTTCCAAGATCGCGGCAGCCAACTGAATGGTTTTTGATCTTCTTTACAAAAAATTTCATAACTGCTTTGAAAGTTAAAATCTGTGTGAGTATAAACTTATGTTCTTGTGAACTTTTTATTTCCGGAAAGAATAAATATTTACCATTTCAGAACGAACAGCTTTAGCTTTTCATAATAAAGCAGTTCACTTTTCTTCATCAGTTCTTTAAAACAACGTTTCCCGAATCCTTCATCTTAAAAATTGCTACCTGCCGGCCGTATCCCATTCATAATTTTAATCCGGAATCACGCTCCTTTTTTATAATACCCTAATGGAACCTCTTCAGAATCAGCTATAGAACGGCGTCTATTGACATCTATTAAGTAAACATGTGTCATTTCTTTTCAGTTCAGCGAGTTCCGTAGTGGAATTTACTGACCTCATTGTTATAGTTTATTCTGACTAACAAGGCAATACAATCTTGAGGGGAATTTTCTAAACATTTGTCTCTTCGCTTCACTTCTGTTAATATAGGTTTACCAATTGTAATAGTGGTAACATCAGGAGTCATGTTTCATCAAGGTTACGGCACTCCTTTTTAGTAAGTTTATTGCCTTAACATTATCTAGATGAAAACTACATTTCTTCTGTTCCGGCAATATAAGTTGTTTAAAGATACCGTGGTGTATTATGTAACTAAAATGAGGCTACGTTCACACAGTATCGGATAGCTCTTGCGCTGGCGCCAAAACCATACCGGATGGAGCTCCTGTTCACATAAAAGATTTCAGCTCGATTTCTGTGACGGGGCGAAGCTGCACCGCGCCGATCTCGAAAGTGGAGCGTCATATATCGGATAGGTTCTGTGCCATACTTAGGTGCCGTTTGAACAGATATTCGGATTCGGCGGAAGAGAATCAATAGTAGTCTCAGATTTCAGCTGACATTTCAGGCTAAATGAATAGAAGCGAGGACTGGAATCCACTGAGACGGAAGTAAGTCAGGAGCGAGGACTGGGATTTAAGTTCGCTCAACCGCTCTGGTGGCATTTTCGATGTTTTGGTTACTTGTTCCAGTTCTGTGCCGTTGCTGTTCATACCAGAACAGATAGCTTTTCGTGTCGGCAAGGAAAGCTATCCAATATAGCCTGAGAATATAGCCTGAGTGAGAGTCCCCTTTGAATGTTTATAACGCGCATATACACGAGTATGTATTTTCTCAGTGAGGCAGTAATGGCGTTGCTTACTTCTTAACTCAGTACAACTCAAAATTAACAACATTTATCCCATTTTTAATATTAACAAAAAGGGCGTAAGATAGCAATGAAGGTTAGCTACCAGTTGTCACTGCCATTAATTTACTGAAAATAGTTGCCAATATCGGCTTGATACATTGTTTTTGCAGCGGGTTTTTATAACAATTGCTTTGTTGCTGATCAGGCTTTATTTTCAATGTTCTGTTCGTAAGCACTTCTTCGTTATATGCTTCTGTTAGCACTTAATGTCGCTTGTTGTTTCAGCTGTTGGCTTTCTCTCGATCGTGGTTTTATATGGTCATTTGTTGGACCAGTATTGGTGGTTCTTGCGGTAAGTCAGCAAAGATGACAATAGTGCACAGACTGGGATGTTTAATAGTAATATTGGATTTCTAATTGGATTTTCCGGTGCATGGGCGCATGATAATTACTCAATGTGCTAGAATGATCACAGTCCCCTACTTTTCCGCAAGATCGCCAGGATCGCCCCAGGCTAGACTAGGAACATTAGGAACCAAGATGGCCGCCCGTAACCCAAAGCGCTCGATCTCGACGATCTTACGGGAAAATGGGGGTCATGACAATGAACAGTACTATCAATATGCCCAACTCAGCCACACAGCCAAGCCGACCAAAGGATACTCAACAATTTGAGGCAAGGAATTAACCATGACAAATTTGAGGAAGACTATCAGTTAGAGTGTCAATCCTCGTATCCTTCTTAGACAGTCTTACAGAGGCATACCAACGTAACAAGAACGTGTTGGGAAAACTAATGATCATTACTAAATATCAGAATAGGGAACTGTCATAGCTGATAGCAGTGAGCTTACACAACAGGACGGGAGAGGAAAGAAGACGGCAAACCTTGTGTGACAAGCGTGACAATAATGTTGTTTGAAAAACTTTTCCACCCAACTTCACCCTTCTTTAAACAGGTGTTTTTATAAAAGACCAGAAAACATTACCTTACCTGAAGATCACCACAAAACACATAAGTAATAGGCGACCTGTTGCGTAAACTCACTAACACTATAGTAGAGGAGCTCCACGCGCGAGGAGCGCGATTGAGCAGTGCCCCATTGCTAAGAAAATTTGGTTACCTAACCATCCAAGAAATTTTGGTTGTCACGTGACCTACGTCCACCCGCCCGCCCGTCCGTCCGCACCGCAGGAAAACCAATGTGAAATGTTACACTCCCTAGCTAGTGTGGGAGCCTGCAACCTGATATTGCACATCCATATTGTGGTCAATTGACAGCTGTCAAAACAAAGTATTCACTGACCAGTATCACATGACCGTATCGCGGGCGGGCTCAGGTGCCAAGCCATCGAGGTTACGTGGTTTTTTAAGTTTACCGCTGGCAAGTTTCTAGTTTTTGACTTATCGCAGGCTCAACTCTAATTGGATTTTTTTATTGCAATGTTTTTTTTTCGTTAACGGGAGCTTCGCCTTTAGCCTCGGCTAAATTTATATATTATTAAACTCGTTGCGTCATTTTATCTCTGTTTTTTCCCTCATAGTTCAATTTCATGTGTTTGGGGATGACATTTAGAGTAATGGCCACATCAGGTCCATCAAATAACAGAAGGAGAACAAACAGAATAAGGTAAAAATAATAATGACTATAGTAATAACATCGGAGGGAATATTGATTACTGTCTCTGCTGATGCTACGTTTGGTCACATTGCTATGCATATGTTGCGTTAAAAGGACGATGTGGAAGTACGAGGAAAAATGATAACCACATTTGAAATTCTTGAGCCATAAAAACATAGGGAAGGTATAGGCAAGCACTTCATAGTCTACAGAGGAAAAGTGAAGTGAAATAATTCTTTCCTTCAAAAATAGTTTGTTGTTTTTCTGTTTGCTTACTTGCTTTTCTTTAATCGTTTCGGATAAGGCAAATTAGACCACGAGTAGCGTCTCATTGTCCTCAGGACAATTAGTCAAAGTAGAAAGAGCTAAATACAAAGCTCGCGTGAAAACGTCACGCAGTTCCTCGAGGTGGCGACATTCACGCGAGCTCGCGTACATAAATGAAGGCCTGGCTATACTCGCAGTCTGGAGATATACTTGCGGGTCTAAAGGCAGGGTCGCGGATAGGGAAACTATAAGCCATTAAGCCCCCATATCACCACCGTACTTAATTATTTATTCCTTTTATATTACGCTTGATGCATCATTTATTATTTTTATATTCATTAGACGCTGGTCGAAAGCCTGTATGTTGCTGACCTGTATACTCGGTCTTACGTGGCTGTTTGGTGTTTTATATATTAATCAAGAATCACTTTTCATGGCTTACTTTTTTACAATATTCAACACTCTTCAGGTAAATCTGATTATCTTATAAAACGGAAATTCCTTAAGGCAGAATGGGAAATTTCATAATTCTTAGACAAGACCTGAAAGCCTGAGTATTTAAATGAAGTGGTGTTCTGCTGGGTACAAGGACAGAATGTTAAGTAAAAATAGTGAAACCCGTATAACAAACTATTCGTTCTTTCCCTACCTCTTTTCAAACCAGAGAATCTTATATCACTTTTATTGCAGGGATTATTCATCTTTTTATTCCACTGTGTTGGAGACGAAAAAGTGAGTATCAAAAGATGGCTGTCATTTTTAATACTAATACGTGTATTTATCCCATGCCAAAAAGAATAAAGCCAATCGGAAAGCTAGGAGCTCGTTGAATACTGTTGCGATATGCAACGGGTCGTATTTCTCGAAATAAAGTCCTTCAGCGTTACTCAAGGCCTTGCATTTCCCGCCAAAAACTCCCAGGGGAGATTGCGAATGGTAAAACTTTTCATTTTAAAAAAGTGTCCCAGAGCAACTTTGTGAACACCAACTTAAAACCGAATTTTAACTTTCATTTCAGGTTCGTCTTGAGTATCGTCGAGTGCTATGCTGTATTGATCCTGACAAACGCTACTTGTTAACCAAACCCTCGGATAGCAACAGCAAGTCAGAATCTTCCTCAAAATCGAAAAGCCAGGTCGACAATTTTAAGGCAAAGAACCAGACACTTAGCAGTTCAGTTTCCTCTGTTGTAAGTATGGTCAATACTGTTGTAAGTCTACGTTGTGCAATAAAGAGCGTTCTACTTAATGCACTACACGTGGGATGGGGTGACATTTCCAGTCGTCACCTTAAAGGGACAATTTAAACCAAGAACAAAACTTCCCACGTAGTCTTATGACAAATAATATATACACACGAATTTAGGCACCACACGCTTATTTGATGGAGGGTCTTCAAAGGACATTCTTAGGCAGGATCAAACATTATCTTAGTGTTCTACAAGCATTCGTCTTGTTTTCTTTTGTCACTTAGTCTTGGCTGTGTTACGAATTTGCTATTCTGTTGTTGGTAAAATATACAGATGAGCTGTAACATATTAATTTACTCATTTTGATCGACTTTCGCTGAATGTAGAATTGAAGCTAAAAATAACTTCACTAAATCATTAGATAACCCGTATATATTTTGCTGTTTTTGTTTTCTTTTTTGACACAGGGAACTGTAGAAAGCAAAAGAAACACTTTTGTAGTTCATGTATCAGGTACGATCATATCGCCTGCGTGCACGATTTTATCGTCTATGCTCAAAAGGCACCGGCCTACTCGTTCAGAAACTTTGAACGCCATAAATCGAGGTTAAATTGTTAGCCGGTAACCATAACCGTCTCAATTTTTGTACAGCAAAGGCGTGGCTGCATGGATACCTGATAACTCAGCTGAGATTTGCTGAAGTAGCGCCCTGCGCGTGGGCGGTTGGTAGAACCTCTCACAAAAGTTAAAGATCAACTTGGGTCGTCAGCTCCGGGTGAATAGAGCATGAACATATCTCTGGTTAATCTTCATGTTATTTCACTAGAGCTTCAAACACCTTACTCCAAAATGGGGGCAAATTTAATTATTCTTTTGTCTTCGCGATAATTAGCCATCAACCGGCCTTGCCTGCCTTGTTTCAGCGTAAAAGTCTTCTTTTGAAACTTGCAGATGAATCGAGGCCAAGGTGGCAAATTAAGTAAAAACTGAGAAAAGTAATTTTAATTGAAATATATGAAATGAATCATATGTTAACTTCATAAAAACCATATTGCCAGCAGTTAGGAATAAGTTGTATAACTCGTTGCTTTCCAGATGGAAAAGTGCGCGTGCGAGGTGTTGCTACAGATGAGCAGAACAGGCATCTGGTGACAAACCAACGCCAAAGTCAATCAAGTCACTCCAGTTTTGGCCAGGCGGTAGCTCAGGTATTATTTAAAAGCGGCAGGTCACAAAACCTTAACTCAATCAATATTTTTTAGTTTGCCTGTGTGTTTCTTCAATCACACTTTTCGGTAATCTTGTAATACCGTAAAATTTCATTATGATTCTTTTCAATCCTTTCTTTGCAGATTCCTAATGGCCGGCGACACTCCAGTGCATCGGCAGCCAGTGAGGATTCTAATCACGAAAGTGAATTGCATGAAGAGATCCCACTGAATAGAAAGAACTAAAGACTAGTCTTATGACGTCACCTCTGTTGAGATTGCCAAGAGTCTCGATCTAATGAACAAAACAACATTTGATAAAGAATTATTTATGTGTGCTTCATCCCCTTTATAGCTACAGTTCAGAGACAAAATACCTCATCAAGTTCTTTCAAACTTGATTTATGAGGAGAATTATTACTTCTTTTACTCTCTTTTTTGGGCCTTTCCTGTTTAGCTGCGCGCGCAACCATCGATGATGGCGTTAACTAAGGAAAACAGAGGAACCTGAGACATGGACAAGTTTGGGAAAATCCGTCGGCTCAACTGGAAAGAGCGCCTTTAAATTAATAAAATTCCAAGTTTGAAGGTGATTTGTTGAAAACTAACGAAGAAAGTCGCGAAATTTTACAGACGTTTGTATGGTGGACAGTTATCCTCGCTCGTTTAAGCGTATCACTTTCAAACTTGTTAAGTTTACTACTTTTAAGGAGCTTGTTTTTACAGTAGTGTCGACAGATTTTCGCTGTTTGGTGCATGTGTAAAGTTGAAAAGACCTTCGAAGGGTCTATTGTGCGACGTCGGATGTTAAATGATATCAAAAAACAAATAGACATTTTGGCGCGTGTCCTAGACTTGTAAACTGGCACCAAAAGAAAAGAATCGCGTGTGTTACAAAACTGTTAAAAAAAGATGTCTGAAACAGGGTTCGACTGTACTGTATTCGCAATTGTACTGTCTCCTCCGAAAAAAAAGGTATTTTGCGAAAGCTTGATCGCCACAAACTACGTAAAGTATCTTCAAACGCTTCCGCATTCTTTAAAAGAGTTCAAATAACGATCAAAAAGGCCACTAAGATTATTGGCCTCAGAACACAACACTGGGTCGCCGGGTGCTGTCTCAAACTGCACTAACCGATATGGTGCGTTTGGGGAAGGGGGCGCTATCGCTTCTGCTATTAAAATGTGTGGGACTTTGTATGATTGTGACCTAACTGATCGTCTAATTGTGCTACCATCGTCTAATTGTACTTGCCATTTGAAGGTTGAAAGAGGTTTAGATTTGTCCCTCCAGTCCAGTACCGTAAATGATCCAATAGACGGCCTCTCTCAAATAAACGCCTCCTTTGCCCTTTTAATCTTGCATTTGACGCCCCTCCCTTATAAACGCCCCCTGTCTAATCGACGCCTCCGTGACAATCACTCCAACAAGGAGCTAAATCATTCCATTTAATAAGTTTCTTGTTCAATGTCAAGTTCAAAGTAAGAATAGGGTAAAGATAACAGCGTAATGACCCTGAACGAGGATTCTGACATCGAGTTAGACTTTCAAAAAAGTCCTCTCTCTCGGTTCGCTTAGAAAATCGTGACATCGAACATGGAGTTTGAGTTCTGAAATGCGATATGGATCTCTAGACGGCCCTAGTCGTATCATAGGATGGACACAATATTTTGCTCATTCATAAACTCTATAGATATTTTATCCGACAGCATATTAGTTTTGTTGAGCTTGAAACAGTTATCATTTACGGTTTTGCAATTCATTATTATTAAAATAGTTTGTTTGTATGATAATTAACTTATTAGGGTGAGGAGATACTAATTGAACACTCATGTGTTTGCTACGTCAGCTCTCATGGACACAACCTTGTGAAATCATTTAGATTTACATGTATACTTACGCGCCTTTTTCATCATTTTTACCACTAATTATCAATTCATTTTTATACTGTACAATTCAAACCCTTAAGAGTCCATAACCTATAAGTTCATTTAAACGCTTCCCATGTACGAAAACGGTTTTTACAACCATTTTTTAGCCTTTACGATTTTAGCTATCATAACTTTCTAATTGATTAAGACAGGCTTACATAAAAATGGTTGTAAATGCAGTGTAAAACTTCCTCCAATAGGATAATTAAATACCCAAAATGTGTACATTGATAAAGGAAGCTCTCTGCATCAGTGAGGAAGCAAAATAATGAAGAACTAAAGACAGAAATAGCTAGCTTTCACCAGCATTATGTCGTCTGTTTTTATTTAAAATCCACTCAAGGCAAACATCTCCACATAAACCAACCAAAATTACCAATTATCACAAACTGATTAAATAACAGCATAAGTATCTTGAATACGACATAGTTTTGGCTGTCAGCACATGAAAATTTTGCAACTCTCCTAAGGCCCAGTTCAGACGCCAAACTTTTCATGAGCCAAACCTAATACATTGAAGTCATTGAATTAAGTACATGAAAAGTTCGGCATCTGAATCAATTAGGAACGCCTGATTCAATTTGGAACGGCTCAGCCATTCTCTTGGCCTAGCCCGGCTGGGATTTTTGCCTTTGGAGCGACTTTGGAATGGCTTTGATTCAGACGCCGAACTTTCCATGTACCGCATCTAATGTATAAATCATTTTGTAAGCNAAACTGATTAAATAACAGCATAAGTATCTTGAATACGACATAGTTTTGGCTGTCAGCACATGAAAATTTTGCAACTCTCCTAAGGCCCAGTTCAGACGCCAAACTTTTCATGAGCCAAACCTAATACATTGAAGTCATTGAATTAAGTACATGAAAAGTTCGGCATCTGAATCAATTAGGAACGCCTGATTCAATTTGGAACGGCTCAGCCATTCTCTTGGCCTAGCCCGGCTGGGATTTTTGCCTTTGGAGCGACTTTGGAATGGCTTTGATTCAGACGCCGAACTTTCCATGTACCGCATCTAATGTATAAATCATTTTGTAAGCAGTTTGACCGAAATAAGCATTTTTCACCATTTGAACTTAGTTCACCTGCATTTAAGATCGGCGTCTGAATCAATTCAGCCAGTCTAAATACAATTTGGGTCGGCCTTAATTTGAATTAGGTTCAGCTCATGAAAAGTTCAGTGTCTAAACCAGGCCTAAGTTTAGTTGCTAATGTTTATAGCAATCATTGATGTCTAAATATATAAAAGCATTTAAATAACATATTCCTTGTAACTCTGTGTAGTCAAAATGGCACTGAAACATGTGAAGAGCAACAGTTTAAGGACGAAACAAAAACAACCTTCATAAGCGATAGATAAAAAATACCTGCATGAATGATAATGTACACTACTTGATCATAATATTCAGTACAATGTGTGTAGCTGATAAATGCAGCTACAATAAAATTTCAAGTGAAAGAAGGTAGTGAATTACTATTAGTCTCAACTACCAGTCGATTTTAAATCTTGTTACTCGTGGCTTTGAGTGAAGAATGTTTCTTTGAAGCTGAAAGAAAAAACAATAAATAAGCCTCAGTATTAAGGACTATGAATTAGTGAAGGAAAGGAGACGTACTAAAAGTATCCACTACAGTCCGAGCCAGCAATCCCCAGCCCCCAGCCCATAGTAACAGCCCTGCTATAAACTAAAATACAAACTACTAACTACTTTATTAACCTTCTAAGTCCTTAGAGTGACCAAGATCAATTTTCTCCTAACAATACACAATCAAGAGAAAAAGTTACGACAATGAATAAAATGATCACCTTTCCAGTTAAAAGCCATCCTCGGAGACCCAGGGGCAGATAAAGGGGGCGAGGGAAAGTCCAAACGGGGGGGAAAAATATATATGGAACGAAGAAAAGTAAAGAACGGCGAGAAGAGCCCCTGGGGACAATGTGTTACCAGACCAGTTCCAAACGGTCGCCGCCGTTCTGGCTTCTGATTGGTGCCAGAAAAACACAAGTTTTCTGGCACCAATCAGAAGCCAGAACGGCGGTGACCATTTGCAACTGGTCTGGTAAGACATTGTCCCCAGGGGCTCTTCTCGCCATTCTTTACTTTTCTTTGTGCCACATTTTCCCACCCGTTTAGACTGTCCCTCGAGAACTCGTCCTCACTATCTGCCCCTGGGTCTCCGAATGGTTAAAAGCCCACTGAATTTTTAAATGCACCTTTCCCTTCCATGATAAGCTCCTTTTTACGAGGCCCCCTGACTGACCCATAAAAATACAAAAATGCCCTCAAAGTTTATTCATACACTGTGTTCTTGAGTGAGTAGGGATTCTAGTATCAAGCTATATTGTGGCTTGGAAACCATCCTCACTGAGGAACCAGTACAAATATAAACAATATCACAAACATTAATCATTATCAGGAAAGGACTCGAAAGCAGTAATTTTTTACCCATTGACAACAGATTAACAGTAAACAAATAAAATTAATTCTGTATGTTGTACCTTTTCTATAACTGGTCTTGCAGGGGGATTTTCTCTCATCTCTTCCTCTGTATACTCATTATTTACATAGTATCCAACCCGTACAAACTCTCTGTCTTTAAAGGAGCAGGTTAAAAGAACCACAGTAACACCAACCAGGTCTTCGTCCGGAATTTTACTTGGATCCGGGGATTTTGCCTAGAGAGAAAGTTCTTTCATTAATTTGCATTATATTACAGATGTTGTGTTAATAAAAATTCTTCAATTTGAAGCACATTGCTTGATAAACAAGAATTATTGCATGCCACAAAGAATTATTAAAGCTAACACATGAGTATTAAAATAATATAATTTATTAAAAATGCATTATGTTAGTGATTACAGTCATTTTACATAAACAATCTACATTACACTGAAGGCCTTTGTCAATAAAGAAATATCAAAATCAGAAAACAGAGCATTGAAAGAAGCAGGTCTCACCAGTGGATAAAATTAAGTTACAATGTGTTACAATGTGTGACATCAGTATAAGAACCCAAGCAATAGAGTTGAGATGAAAGTTAAAAAATCACTTGCCCTTTTGGCAAGCTCTGTTGCTAAGGTTTACTAGCCTGGAACAGAAGTGCAGGCCTACCGAACCCCTTTTTTACAAACATTACTTTAAATAATAACAAATTAATGCTATTTTCGTACAGCAAATACAGATACAGAGCAAATACTGATACAGAGCACTAAGAAAAGCTAGATTAAAGATACAAGCACAAATTAAACATACTTTAGGTAAACCTATAACCCTCAAAGATAAGAAAACTAAAAAACAGCCACAAGTAGACTGGTGGGCGTCAAGTGGTGTGAAATTCACCAGGAGTGGTTTATAAAGATCTAATTGTCCCAATGGGAACTGAACTAAACAATGTAATCAACACCTAAAAAAAATACATTTTACTGTCAGTGAAAAAGACAGCCAAGTGTAAATAATTTTCTGAAAAACTAGATGCAAACAAAGGTGATCCTCGTAAAAGTTGGCAGTTAATGAATGACCTTCAGTCTCAGCAAAGTAAATCAACTACATCTCTAAATTCGGTGTTGACCAAGATGCCTTCAAATGATTCAAGTCATATCTAACTAACCAAATGCAAAGATTTATTGTAGGTAACTGTCTATCTAGTGAGAGCCTTCTTGACTGTGTTGTACCGCTAGGGTCAATAATCGTCACCCTTCTCTTTTTGATCTACATAACAATGTACCAAACTGTTTGAATACTGGTTCTCCTAGAATGTACATGGACAACACTAACGTTACCTTTTCTGCACCTACCATACCTGATCGTGATTCAGAGATCAATAACAAATTGAAACATTTTGATCTCTGGCTTAAATCTCAATGTCACCAACACAGAGCTTACAATTACTAGCTTGAGACAGAAACTACAATCCTTCAACGACTACACAATAAACATTGAGGTAGATGGCATCCAAGTTAACCAAACATTCATAGCAAATCTCCTCGGCTTAATACAGATGATCTCTCTTGGAAGCCCCACATACATGTACATGACATCTAAAAAAGAGTCTCAAGTACACACTGCAGTTAAAATATACAAACAAGGTCTTATTGAACCACACTTTGATTACTGTACTTCTGTCTTGGATGGCTTGTTGCAACAGCTGAATGATATAAACTCCAAAAACTACAAAATCACACTGCCAAAATCACACTGTAGTTGCACACAACTTCTTAACTTGCTTGATTGGGACAACATATCAATTAGAAGGGCTAAGCAAAAGGCTAAATTAACATGCAAGTGTACTAATAATCTCACTCCGCCTGTAATTTGTTTGCCCTGAGAATCTCAATAATTGAGATTCTCAGGGCAAACAAATTTGCTGTGCCTACATCCTCTGGAAGATTGTTCCATAAGTGGACCACTATAACTAAAACTACGCTTGAGGAACAACAGGTCATAATAATGACCTTCACAACGCAGAGAGTAATATCATTGTTATTAATGATATTAATATTATTGTTGTTTGGCAAACAAATTTGCTGTGCGTACATCCTCTGGAAGATTGTTCCATAAGTGGACCACTGTAACTAAAACTATGCTTGAGGAAACAACATGTCATAATAATGACCTTCACAATGCTGAGAGTAATATTATTGTTATTAATGATATTAAAATTATTGTTGTTTGGCAAACAAATTTGCTGTGCATACATCCTCTGGATCCATAAGTGGACCACTGTAACTAAAACTATGCCTGAGGAAACAACAGGTCTGAGAGTAATACAGAGACAACACTGAGAGTAATAGTATTGTTGTTTCCAAAACCAAGAACTGACTTCTTCAAGCACAGTTTTAGTTACAGTGGTCCACTTATAGAACAATCTTCCAGAGGTTGACGCACCGCAAATTCTCTAGATGCTTCATTACAGAAAGATGCCTATTGAAAAGGTTAAGTATCAGCTATGAAATTGCGGGTCCCATTACTTTATATTTGCGCTCTCACAAAGAATGTTGACGCATGTAGCACCCTTTGACTCTCTGAGTGAAGTGTTAGCTTATTGTTTCCACGATATAAAGATAATTTAACTTGAGTAAATCAATACTTTGTCTTCTGACAAGATGGTCGCGGGATGCATTCATGCTACTCTCCTTTTTATTAGGAGCTGCAATCGCTCAAGTCGTAAATTACTGGTATTTTGACTTAATGTTTGGAATGCAAAAAAAAAAAAGAATTGCGCTCAAAGTTGTTTTTGTCGGTATGCAAATATCTATCCTTACCATCAAACTGAAATATCCTGGCTTTTTTTACCACTTTTTGACTTGCTTCACTTCAATTTATATAATTTTTATGAAAGCAAAATGTTTCATGTGAACTAACGTTTTCAGAAGAAAAAAAAATGTAGAAATGTTGGGTTTACATCCACAGCGAAACATGTCTATTATGCATCACTTACACTCATATATAATTATTAATGACCCTTCATTCGGTGGAATTCGCTGGTGACAAAACTGTCGCCTTTGATTTCTCAGATGCTTGCCTTTTCGGGCACCCTGTTTATTTTGACTATCAAGATTTAATTTTTCATTCCAACAATTACCAGACCAGTTCCAAACGGTCGCCGCCGTTCTGGCTTCTGATTGGTGCCAGAAAAACACAAGTTTTCTGGCACCAATCAGAAGCCAGAACGGCGGTGACCATTTGCAACTGGTCTGGTAAGACATTGTCCCCAGGGGCTCTTCTCGCCATTCTTTACTTTTCTTTGCGCCACATTTTCCCACCCGTTTAGACTGTCCCTCGAGAACTCGTCCTCACTATCTGCCCCTGGGTCTCCGAATGGTTAAAAGCCCACTGAATTTTTAAATGCACCTTTCCCTTCCATGATAAGCTCCTTTTTACGAGGCCCCCTGACTGACCCATAAAAATACAAAAATGCCCTCAAAGTTTATTCATACACTGTGTTCTTGAGTGAGTAGGGATTCTAGTATCAAGCTATATTGTGGCTTGGAAACCATCCTCACTGAGGAACCAGTACAAATATAAACAATATCACAAACATTAATCATTATCAGGAAAGGACTCGAAAGCAGTAATTTTTTACCCATTGACAACAGATTAACAGTAAACAAATAAAATTAATTCTGTATGTTGTACCTTTTCTATAACTGGTCTTGCAGGGGGATTTTCTCTCATCTCTTCCTCTGTATACTCATTATTTACATAGTATCCAACCCGTACAAACTCTCTGTCTTTAAAGGAGCAGGTTAAAAGAACCACAGTAACACCAACCAGGTCTTCGTCCGGAATTTTACTTGGATCCGGGGATTTTGCCTAGAGAGAAAGTTCTTTCATTAATTTGCATTATATTACAGATGTTGTGTTAATAAAAATTCTTCAATTTGAAGCACATTGCTTGATAAACAAGAATTATTGCATGCCACAAAGAATTATTAAAGCTAACACATGAGTATTAAAATAATATAATTTATTAAAAATGCATTATGTTAGTGATTACAGTCATTTTACATAAACAATCTACATTACACTGAAGGCCTTTGTCAATAAAGAAATATCAAAATCAGAAAACAGAGCATTGAAAGAAGCAGGTCTCACCAGTGGATAAAATTAAGTTACAATGTGTTACAATGTGTGACATCAGTATAAGAACCCAAGCAATAGAGTTGAGATGAAAGTTAAAAAATCACTTGCCCTTTTGGCAAGCTCTGTTGCTAAGGTTTACTAGCCTGGAACAGAAGTGCAGGCCTACCGAACCCCTTTTTTACAAACATTACTTTAAATAATAACAAATTAATGCTATTTTCCTACAGCAAATACAGATACAGAGCACATACTGATACAGAGCACTAAGAAAAGCTAGATTAAAGATACAAGCACAAATTAAACATACTTTAGGTAAACCTATAACCCTCAAAGATAAGAAAACTAAAAAACAGCCACAAGTAGACTGGTGGGCGTCAAGTGGTGTGAAATTCACCAGGAGTGGTTTATAAAGATCTAATTGTCCCAATGGGAACTGAACTAAACAATGTAATCAACACCTAAAAAAAATACATTTTACTGTCAGTGAAAAAGACAGCCAAGTGTAAATAATTTTCTGAAAAACTAGATGCAAACAAAGGTGATCCTCGTAAAAGTTGGCAGTTAATGAATGACCTTCAGTCTCAGCAAAGTAAATCAACTACATCTCTAAATTCGGTGTTGACCAAGATGCCTTCAAATGATTCAAGTCATATCTAACTAACCAAATGCAAAGATTTATTGTAGGTAACTGTCTATCTAGTGAGAGCCTTCTTGACTGTGTTGTACCGCTAGGGTCAATAATCGTCACCCTTCTCTTTTTGATCTACATAACAATGTACCAAACTGTTTGAATACTGGTTCTCCTAGAATGTACATGGACAACACTAACGTTACCTTTTCTGCACCTACCATACCTGATCGTGATTCAGAGATCAATAACAAATTGAAACATTTTGATCTCTGGCTTAAATCTCAATGTCACCAACACAGAGCTTACAATTACTAGCTTGAGACAGAAACTACAATCCTTCAACGACTACACAATAAACATTGAGGTAGATGGCATCCAAGTTAACCAAACATTCATAGCAAATCTCCTCGGCTTAATACAGATGATCTCTCTTGGAAGCCCCACATACATGTACATGACATCTAAAAAAGAGTCTCAAGTACACACTGCAGTTAAAATATACAAACAAGGTCTTATTGAACCACACTTTGATTACTGTACTTCTGTCTTGGATGGCTTGTTGCAACAGCTGAATGATATAAACTCCAAAAACTACAAAATCACACTGCCAAAATCACACTGCCAAAATCACACTGTAGTTGCACACAACTTCTTAACTTGCTTGATTGGGACAACATATCAATTAGAAGGGCTAAGCAAAAGGCTAAATTAACATGCAAGTGTACTAATAATCTCACTCCGCCTGTAATTTGTTTGCCCTGAGAATCTCAATAATTGAGATTCTCAGGGCAAACAAATTTGCTGTGCCTACATCCTCTGGAAGATTGTTCCATAAGTGGACCACTATAACTAAAACTACGCTTGAGGAACAACAGGTCATAATAATGACCTTCACAACGCAGAGAGTAATATCATTGTTATTAATGATATTAATATTATTGTTGTTTGGCAAACAAATTTGCTGTGCGTACATCCTCTGGAAGATTGTTCCATAAGTGGACCACTGTAACTAAAACTATGCTTGAGGAAACAACAGGTCATAATAATGACCTTCACAATGCTGAGAGTAATATTATTGTTATTAATGATATTAAAATTATTGTTGTTTGGCAAACAAATTTGCTGTGCGTACATCCTCTGGATCCATAAGTGGACCACTGTAACTAAAACTATGCCTGAGGAAACAACAGGTCTGAGAGTAATACAGAGACAACACTGAGAGTAATAGTATTGTTGTTTCCAAAACCAAGAACTGACTTCTTCAAGCACAGTTTTAGTTACAGTGGTCCACTTATAGAACAATCTTCCAGAGGTTGACGCACCGCAAATTCTCTAGATGCTTCATTACAGAAAGATGCCTATTGAAAAGGTTAAGTATCAGCTATGAAATTGCGGGTCCCATTACTTTATATTTGCGCTCTCACAAAGAATGTTGACGCATGTAGCACCCTTTGACTCTCTGAGTGAAGTGTTAGCTTATTGTTTCCACGATATAAAGATAATTTAACTTGAGTAAATCAATACTTTGTCTTCTGACAAGATGGTCGCGGGATGCATTCATGCTACTCTCCTTTTTATTAGGAGCTGCAATCGCTCAAGTCGTAAATTACTGGTATTTTGACTTAATGTTTGGAATGCAAAAAAAAAAAAGAATTGCGCTCAAAGTTGTTTTTGTCGGTATGCAAATATCTATCCTTACCATCAAACTGAAATATCCTGGCTTTTTTTACCACTTTTTGACTTGCTTCACTTCAATTTATATAATTTTTATGAAAGCAAAATGTTTCATGTGAACTAACGTTTTCAGAAGAAAAAAAAATGTAGAAATGTTGGGTTTACATCCACAGCGAAACATGTCTATTATGCATCACTTACACTCATATATAATTATTAATGACCCTTCATTCGGTGGAATTCGCTGGTGACAAAACTGTCGCCTTTGATTTCTCAGATGCTTGCCTTTTCGGGCACCCTGTTTATTTTGACTATCAAGATTTAATTTTTCATTCCAACACATAACACACAACACACTTTAAGACTGCATAACATGATCTTTCTGGTATCTTTTGTTATTCTATTGTTTCCAAACAATCAACATACCTTTCCAATTTCCACCTACAAATAATAGGAGACATTTGATTGACAGAAAAATTTGCATTTACTGTTGGCATGTTTCAGGTTTCTTGGTTTGCTGATCAATACTTCCACAAGGCAAATATGTAAAACAGTTATAGAGAATTTGATTTATTTTCTACTGTTATAAGGAAACCTTAAAAAAATTTTCACCACCGTGTATATATATAGTTTATCATTTATTCACCTGTTGGTAAAACAAGATGTATAAAGTTGGTCAAGGAAAGTGTCCTAACCATAAGACACAACAATCCCGAGTTAACAAATTGAGACTTTTGCTTTTGTAAAACATGTGTGCGGTAAATATGGTTGGAACTTTGGAGTCGATGAGAAACTTGAACAACATGTACATGTACAAATTTACCACAAACATGCAACAAGAGAACATTCACGTGCATTTTGTGCCATTTAACAGAAATGGTGGTATCGGGGCATTAATATCATACCTCAAAAACAAACGCGTGTCTTCCTATTGGAACTGGTCCCACAAACACTGAGTCCAGCACTTGATCGTATTCATCGCTTTCGGCAGAGCCAACATATATAATTTTCCATTCTAAATCTAAATAGGCCACACAAAAGCAGAATCACCAACAGTTTTACCAACACATACAAGGTTTAAACACTCTCAATAAGCCAAATAAAGTTAAACTTATTCAATGGAGCAAACCTTCGTCAAGTTCCTCGGTGCATTCGAAGGTAATCTGAAATTGGAAGTTGCTCAAGAAAGGCGAAGGATTTTCGCAAACGGTCACATCATTGATGTGTACTTTAGCCATTCTTTCACGATGAAACGTCACATTAATTCCCTGTTTACCTTTCTGAAATCAGAAGTACAGAAAACTACTAAAATTCGACAAAGTACGATATGATTTTAACAAGCACGACATTGTCTTGAGAAATGGCGGAAAATTTCTAATCTGGCGCGAAACGAACATCAAACTACGCATGCTTAGCTACCTTAGCTGCCTGGCCTTCAGGATTCAGCTCCAGTCCTTTGGCGTTTGACTCAAATTTACGCGTGCTCAAAACAATGGGCCTATTACACTGTAAAAACATGCAGATAAGCTAAAATATTTCAAGACAAGGAAATTTTAAATATTTCAAGTAAAATAAAGCTTCACAGACAAAAGATTCTTTTTTACTTCAGGTTAACTTAAGGCCATTTTCCCACGCAATAGATTGATTGACATGCTTCGTCTTTCTCAAAGCTCAAAAAACCACAAGTTCGCAAAGTCGGTTTTAAGGATGGTTTTCAAGTCACTTGAAAATTTTCTTGAATCGTTTCAACTTTCCGACTTGTGATACAAAGAAAAATAACTTGAGATTTTAATTTACTTTAGCCTTCACACACTTATCTTAAGTTAATTAAAACTTAGCATCTCTTAAGTCTTGCCTTACCATCCTCTAAAAGTGTCCTGCAAAGCAGATTGTATGCGAGATACCGCATTTTCTCTAATAAGTGCCCACGCTCTAATAAGCAACAAATCCCTGGGCCATAATATCAAACAGGCGCCCCTCCCCCCTCACCTAGGAGGGGATAGGAGGCGCATATCATCGAACAGGTTGATCTCAGGGATCTATTATGAGATAATCGATATTTTCCAATAGTATACCGTGACGATATATCTGAGTTTAATGGGACTACACGGTGTGCTTGATTACAGTAACTGTTTTAACAAACCTTAAAACTTTCCTATTAAGGATTTAGCAGAAACAAATTTACACTTTTAGCAGGAGCGTAGCGTCCATAAACGCACATCGCTCCGTGCGTACAGTCGAAATTGGAGAAATTTTTTTGGATTATTTCATGAAAGCATTTTTTATTTTTTATCAAATCGGGATCAGGGATAAATTTTCGCATTACATTAGCGTCTTGTAACCAGTACTTGATGGCGTTACTGTTTTATCTTTTTTTTCCGTAAACACTGTTAATACCGGTAACGCGACAGATGGGTAAACAATAAACTTCTGCATTTTCCTTGGTATTTATTTATTGAAAATGTCCCGTATAAAGCGCGGAAAATGACATTACCGATACCCTAAATTCAGAAATTTTCTGGGGGAGCGACTTCAACGCTCTAAATTGTCTTCCCGTGCGTACGCCTTCAAACAAACAAGTCGTAATCTGGAAAAAGCGGCCAGGCGCTGAGTGCCAAAGAAGTGATTTCAAGAGTTTTTATTTCATGTCACGGGTGACAAATTACTTCTTAATTTTGTCTCGAACTTTCAACGTAAATTTATGATTTCACTTGTGAAATTGCAAAATTTCATAATTTTAGTCTTATCTTTTTAGTATGTGGAGTTCTCGATACCACGGACAATTAAAACCCCAAGATTGCAAGCGTAATATGTCACCCATGATATTGATAAGCGAAATTAGGCAATAATTTCCCGCGTTTTGCGCAAATTCTAATAGTTTCCTTGCCTTTGATTAAAAGGGCTCAGAAAATTATTAGATATTGGACAAAACGCGAGTGACTGATATATATTATTCTCTAGGAAATTTCACGTGTCACTTTCTGATTACACATACCGTTATAACAACCTCGTCCCCAGGGTGCGCTTTTCCCTGCCTTTGGAGGTGGGGTGCCCCACCTCCAAAGCCAGGGAAAAGCGCTCTGGGGACAAGGCTGGTCGAATAATAGCCGCTCCTCGATTAATCGCCTCCCTCGATCGAATAATCACCCCCTTAGCCGGAAATATTGAAAATAATCCCCTCCCTCGAATAATCTCCCACCCCCACCTCTCTCGCCATCTTTTCTTTTTTTTATCCCCTCCCTGTCGCGTTGAAGTGGAGTCTGATGCAGCAAAACTGATCAGTGAGGATTCAAGCTCTGACGCCGAGGATATTGACACTGAAAATTAATGAAGGAACCAAATTTAGAACACTTAGAAAGCCTATGTTCGGTTTATTTAATTTTGATGTGATCATTTTTTGATTTAATGGGATAATAACACAAAATATTTAGGGCACGACTTCCAGTGGGCAAAATTTGAAATAATCTCCTTCCCTCGAATTATCGCTCCTTCTTGTGCGAAAAATAGTAATAATAGCCCCGACTATTTTTGGAGGAAATGCGATACTTATTTTTTCCAACAGTCCGATTTTGAGTTTCATGCAACTGGCACCCAGGCCTCTGTTCACAGATGCGCTTTTCGCATCCTTTGATAGACAGAAATCTGTTTCAAAGCGGTTTTACTCAAAGCCGGATACGGATCCTCAAGTAAGTGAAAAAGTTTTAATTGTCTCGCGTTACAGAGTAAATAATAAATAAATTGCAAACGATATAAGATTTTGTAAGGAATAGTTTAGTTGCACGAATGTCTTGCCCTGTATGATCGTTCCAATAACCAAAAGTGGCCAAAAGTTTATAGTGTCTTATAGTATTCACACAACGCCAACAAAAGGGCTCGTTTCGTATTCTGGACGATATCTTGCTTTCGGCATAACTAAAATTCCTTATGCATTGTAGCGTTAACCAGCGGCTGTTCTCTTCTCGATCAATCGTCTTGACTGTAGCATCTCAGTGCTTGTACAAAACGGACAGCATGATGACTAACTCTGGGTTATGGCTTCCATTCTTGTTAAGAGGTGAAGGTAAAAAGCCTGAATCGCTTGATAACCAAGCTCGTGGTCAAAGAGTACCCATCTTGATCAATTTTCTCAGGTACCAAGCACTTTTCTCTTGACGTTTCGAACCTAAAAGAAATCAGAAACAGAAATCTTCTAAGCGTTTGAGAATTTCAGTGCCACACATTGTTTTTAGAAAACGATGGATGTAATTAATTCTACAAACGAATGTCAAGTATGATCAATGACAAATTTACAAGGACAGGATAATCTGAATCTTCTTTACTTGTATATATATCGGGAACACTTAACGACGGTGAGCCGTTGTGGAAGCTTGAAAAGATCCAAGGTTTATTAGGTTGTCTGATGAAGGTGCATGTTTATTAGGGAGCTTTTGCACTCTCGGCGGAGCACCAAGGGTATAGTGTAAGAAAATTTTGTTATCTACGCATCCACTGAGAAATTTTAGTTCTAAGAAAATCGTCGTTACGTAAGTCTGTAAGTACGACCGTAAGTCCACCCATTCATGGCAGCCCGAGTGATGTTTTTTCATGATCTGGAAATTTGCATTTAAAGGACCCACGCCTTTCGGCTGTAAATCGCATGGCGACCACCCTAAGGCTTCTAGAGAGAAAAAAAACCAAACCGAGTCTTTCTTTCGACTAAATTTCGTCTACATTGACATGGATAACAGGGAAAGGGCTAGAGCGAGAGATTGAAACAAAGGAGACCAATTTCGTTGGAGGAAAAACATGAAAGTTTTATAGCGGCGGTGAGAAAACGAGAAATGCTAGCGGCTACTAAGATGAAAATTAGCGACACTCAGTAAAAATAGTGAACATAAACACATATACGACATTTCCTCGATAAAACGTGTAACTAGGACGTTTCTGGAAGTTTCACTTTGAAGACGTGCAAAACAACGGCAAAGAAATGTACAAAAAAAAAAATTGCTACACGTGCAAAGTTGGGTTTTTTTGCTAGTTAGACCTGCTTATCTTTTTTGCCGTTTACCTTGCCGTTGCAGAACAGCGTTTCACGATTTTTTTTCCTTTGTTTGAGGAAACTATAAATATTAACGAGAGCTCCGCTTTCAGCCCTGGCTAAGGGCCTGTTTACATGGAGTTGAGGGACCCCAGACAGGTGAGGCAACATGTGGCGGGTCACCCTTCCTATCATGTAAACGTGATCAAACTTAAAACGAGAGATTATATGGACATACGGGTTACCTCACCTACCTGGAACCAGATGTTGAAAAGGTGGATTGCGTTATCCACCGAATAAATCATTATCTACTGGATAACGCAATTGGTTTCCCAAATACTTATCCACTGGATAACGATTTATCCGGTGATTAAAGCATCTGGGGCCAGGGGTCCCAAACCTCCATGTAAACAGGACCTAAATCGATTTAGAAAACAGTGGATAGCGTTTTTAGCGCGCTCTGATTGGCTACTCAACCTCCGGATATCCAGTGCTATTCACTAATTCACCTCCAGTTCCTCCGAGCGATCGAAGGCAAACAACCAAAATGGCTTCCCGCGGTTTGCTGCCGTAACAAACAAAGATATTTCACAAATAATCAAACAAGCTGATTTGTCAGTGTCTCGCAGATCCATTATTTGCCTCGGCCTTCGGCTTTAGCGAATAATTGATCTGTTCGCCACGGACAAATTAAGATATTTTGCTCGACCTCGTCCAATATTTTGCGTGGCCCCCCGACCGAGTTATTTGCATGCTAGCGCGCAATGCTTGAACTGGCCGTGATGGTGTTAAAGCCGCATATTGCTATAGCTATTGACGGCGAAAATACGATATATAAGCTGGTACGCAAATCGCATTTATGACCAACCTTAAGAGATTCCTTGAAGGCAGCAAAACTGTTATTTGTTTCCACGGTGTTATCCAGACTCCGTGACCTGCTTCTATGCCGAGGAACCCCAAGAGAAGTCAGTGACGTCAGTCCTTTGTCCCCATCTGGAGTTTCACATGACTGCTCTTCTATCACCATATCAAGACTCTTGCGTGGCATATTTTGACCAATGCACGGAAAGGAGCTTCTTCTGGACGCTAGCATATATCTGGCTTCTTCAACACTTGACTTAAAATTAACGAAAGCCAATCAATCAATATGACAAGTAACTACAACTTTTCAAAGAGGAATTAATCGATCAAGAAATAAGGAGTTATTAACGAAAACTTAACTTGAGTGAAGTTTAAACCTGAATGAACTTCGTAAACTATCATTTACAAACGTGATATAATGTACTTTTTACTCGCGTCGTGTTCCACCTTTAGTTAGCTTTCATCGAATACAGCCGTTTCTCCTTGCCCCTCGCCACTAAGGACAGTCGGAAACGGCTGTACTCGCAGCTAGGCTACTTCCACCTACTCTATGCACGAGTAACGTATTGTATTTCAGCTATGTTTTCAGTTCTTAGATTCCTTTGATGGGGTCCTTGAAGCAACTGGAATTTAACTTCTCTGTCATTATTGAGCCTCTGTATGGATATTACCGATGGAATCGAAATCGCGAAGATCGCCATGATGAAGCGACGATTACATTGCCTAGTTTTTAATAACGTTTGACAGCGCTAATCGTGCATTGACGGCAAAAAGATCTGCCAAAAATTGTGCCGCAAGTTCAGAGTTTTTGTTTTGCTTGTTTTCTCGTTTCCATCGTCGTTGTGCTTGCGCCGAGCTGGCGATTTCGCCTAAAAAACCTGAAAAAAAACGGGCGATTTGATATAAAAGCGCAATGAAATCTATGCCCGCTGGTACCTTCAGAGACGCTCATTATTTCCCGTCCAGTCTACCAGCACTCGTGGCAAATGTCACAGTGCAATAAAATCGGATCCCACTAAACAAGTGAATAACCAGTTAATTTCATTTTGAGTAATTCTGGAGTCCGACCAATAGAACGCTACCTGTCAACAATGGACCAAACCTTTAAACTCTCCTCTGAGCCACGTTTTTAACAGGTGGCTGTGAAATAATATGTTTTACAAATAATAGCTACAGAATGACTAAATATTAAATAACGGCTGCACAATACCCAAAGTTTTAACTGTTATTAAATTCACTTACTTCAGTTGGCATCAAGAAATTGGGATCCAAATCTTGTTTGGTAGAGGGTTTACTTGTGACGCGATACTCTCTATCTTGGTGTACTGTAATACTTGGAACTCCATCAGAAGTATGGTGCACCCGCATATCGCAGCTATTTACAACAGGCAATGAAAATAGGTCTTTATCTCCAATTGATGGCGTTTCTTCTCGGTCTTGAATATCGTTCGATCCATATGTTAAATCAGTCGTCGATGAATTTTGTAGAACAGATAATGAGTTTGTGTGAACGATACGTGCAGCACCAGTTGTTCTAAATCTTGACTTTAAAAGCCCACTTTTCGGTGATTTATTGTGTTTTAAAATTATCTGTAGGCCGTCAACGTCGACGTCGTGTTTATCGTCGATTTTGTTAAAGCGTAGAGTGTTCACACTTTCTGCGATAGAGACTTGACAGTTAGAAATTTCAGTGTTGCTGGAATTGTTAAATTCCATGTCTTTATCTTGTGTTGCCAGACACTTGGTCTCAATTGCTATCAGCTTTCCAAATGAATAACTTGCAGCGTTCCGTCTTTCTTTGCCGGGCAACCTGTGGCCATTTGCCAATGGGATTTTTGCTTAAGTTAAAGTTGTGGTAGCGTCGTATCCTGGACACCGTGAAAATATCGCAAAACCGGTGTTCCGTCAAGATTCAAGTCCTCGATATTTCGTCTTTTAACCTGGATATAATCTCCTGCAGGGCAGTGATGTATCAGTAAAGAATGCTGGCTTTGGTATTTTCAGTTCCACTTTCCCTGTGTACATAGTAAAAAGGATATAATCTCAAGTCAATACATGACTAAGGCGGACGAGGTCCCCCGATGATTTGGGCGAAGATGAAATGGTATGCAAATTGAAAAATGAACGATGTTTATACCCTCTTGCTTGAATCAATGATGACGAAAATCTTGATCCCGGTGGCTTTTACTACCCTGAACTATTTGTTTCTTTCAATTTTGCCGTTTCATACATCCAAGGCTTTTATATCAATTTTTTTTATATGGGCATTTCGCTCTCTTCTGACGTCAAACAGTAAAAAATAAAAATATTGTCGCTTAATTATGCAGCCTACGCAAAAGTAATCATATTAAAGCCATAACACTAAAAATGGAAATCGCAGATTGGATTTAAGTCATTAGGGAATTAATACAAAAAGACATGCTTCTTTTGTGAGTCAATTTACTGAAAGAAATAATGATATTAGTATCCTTATCTGAGGCTGATGTTCGCAGTTTGGCTCAAAATAATGTTTCAAAGTTTTGAAGTTTTCGTATCATATCATGTATGCGAGCAATAACAAACGGTAGATTTTTCGTGCAATACCACTTACAACGATAAATTATCGCAAAAAATTGACTCGCCATGGTAAATTGCCAAATTAGTACTAATTTGAACACGACGAATCGATTTTAATTCAGTTCTTCAGTATACTCTGGCGGTATGCTAACATCCAGCTAAAATAATCAAGTACAGAATTGCAAATTTAAGCAAAATATATATTAACTTGTTTTTAAGTATAAGGAGTCCAATATTACTCTGCGATACTAGATTTGGCACCCATCATCGACGAAAAAAAATTAAATAGGGCTAACATATTGGGTTAGATTAGTCTCAACGAGTTCCTATCGTGTAAATCACATGCCACGACATGACATTTTTTCTTCATTGTTGTGAGAGTTTGTTTCAATTAAATTACTGGTGTACAAGTACCAGTGGAGCCACATGTATAGCTCTAAAAACAAAATTATGAATTGAAGGCCGACTTAACACCAAACATAAATAACTTATTATTTATTTTGACCCGATTATCGATGTCATCGCCAGCAAATTTTGCGGCAAGTTCAGAGATAACAACCAAAAAGCAGATTTCCGTACTTCGCAAAATTGCCGACAAGCTTCCCTACTCACACAGCAACATAGGGTAATAAAGATACAGCAGTCAAGTATTTAGATTTGTGTACAAAATCTCATCGATTAGTTTTTAAATTTCATTGGTTCCGTGAGCTGAAGTAACGACCATTTATCTCCAGCTGGGCCTATCCATTTTTTAATTACCCGGCAAAAATTGATAATATCGCTCAAAGAAAGCAAAACGACAAACCGCTATTGTTAAAATCCATAAAAATGGACTGAAAATTAACTGTCCTTTTCTATTCATTTGTATTTTCCCGTTTGTTATTGTTTATCCATGCATGGTACCTCCTGAAGTACCACTAAGTCGCCCGATAAATTGCTTACAGCAATGAAAGCAAGCATACACATCGCGGATACATTGTTGAAAACCAGTGTGATACCAATGAAAATGACCATCTAAAGGGAACTTTCCCTCGTTCAAATTTAATATTTCAGTTTTTTTTAATTTTTTGTTCTTATCAATAGCTTCCACTGACCGGCGTAAATATCATCTTTCTCTTACAATTCTTACGGTCCTTTAAGTTCTATATTACAGCGCAGCCGTATTTACATATTTTTTTTAATGCCTTCAGCCATACATCATGCCGGGCACTGAGTTTCCGGCATGGTGTATTTTCTATCAGAAATCAGTCAGGTACAAATTGGACAATTTCAGAGACCTTACCTTTGGTATCAGTATAAACCGAATGGATTGTTGCTGGTAGCTCGGTGTCTGATTTATGCACGTTAGCTCATGAACTGATACTAATTTCTAGCAAAACGGTACTGCTGGCAGTTGTTTTTAAGATGAATATTTTGTTTCTGCTTACATTGCCTCAGGAAATGACAGCCTGGTCGCCAACAGGTGCATGGAACAAAAATAGCCAGATTATTTGCAATTCAAGATAATCCCTTTATATTGACATTTATTTTTGTGTTTCAGGTTCTCTTACCTTTTCTAGCAGAGAAGCTACCCTTTAATTAAAATAAAGGGATTTACTTGTGGATAAAAAGGTAGAAGAGCCAAGTAGCTCGTATACTGAGTCAACTAGTTCGGCCATTTACAGACGATGACTGGGGACAAAAGGGTAAAATAACAACATGCAAATGAAAACATGGAGTGGGCAAAGCTCGGAGAAAAATAAAACTGGTGGGTGTGTATGACGTTTCTTTTAAAATTGTTAAGCGTTTTATATACAGGGAGGGTAACCTTTTTTATTCCTTCATCCATGTGATTCAAATGTGTATTTTGACAGCGAGAGTAATTCATTTAACGCAATAGCAATTCAAAGTATTATCTTGGAGAATAGACCTTGTAAGTCAGATATAAGTTCTGTCAAGTCTGATTCGTTAGCGGTTGATCGGTTAAAAAAACAATATAAATGATTCAAATGAAAATGAACACCCCAGAATTGAAGCTTATTTGTTTATCAATTAATTAATCTACCATTTTAATCATTCAATTTTTTAGGCCCGGGCTAAACGTCGGACTTTCCATGAAATGAACCAAAGTGTAATTTTGGTCGAGTTGAATTAATGAGTTCGTCTGTAATTGGTCAGACGTCAAACTAATGAAGCATCGAACCAATCATATCAGACGACAAACGGGGCCAGTTGGTTTTTACAAGAAAACAATTTGTCGTCTCAAATATACCGATTTGCGATTGGTTATTATATATATCACATCCCACCGCGTAAATGCGCAAAAAAAACCCACAATTTTAGAATGGCACTGAAGACTACAGAAGAGTTGAATACAGTGGGACCTCCCTGATATAATCTGAAAGGCCAAGGGACTTGCAATATACGTTCGCTATAACGAGGTTTCGCGCGTGAAGTGGTAATCTCACCACTCCAAAAAACATTTTTACTTCTAACTCATAACACTTCACTTCTGATGCAAATGGTTGTTAATCAGTTGAAACCAATACATGCAGAGAAACAGTGAATGAGATTACTTACACATGTATCTGATTTCATAGCCACCGCAGAATAATTAAATTCCCTTGTCTATGGCAGATTGCACTGCTTCAATCAAGTTTTATCAGTGGATTGGTCAGAGCCGGTTTCTTAGTTTACCCCTGAAAATAAACGACCTGTCGGGACCTGATCCTGACCTGATTGGCCAGCTCTGTTGAACACTAAACATCTGTATCCTCTCCGGTTTCGCAGATAAAGTAGCAGACGGCGGGACGAAACGGTAAAAATAGTGGAAAACAGCCCCGGACAAAAGTCCGCTCTAATAGTTGTCTGTACTTTTAGTGACTGAGGTGCCATTATTATATATAGCTACAGGGTTTACTGTACTCCGAAAAGAAATGTACTAAATGTAAAATGCATATCTCTGCTTAAAAAGTCAGCCAGTGTAATACAAACTAGAAACCAGAGGGTGTATACTGGGCTACCATAAAACCTAGACTAGGTAGAAATAATGTATGAAAAACGAGAAGTTTACCACAACAGACAGCTGACAGAGTCTGAAAGGAAGAAGTAACCCTGCTAAACCCATTCCCATGCCGGGCACCACCCCAACCCAAGGGTCTCATTAAACTGTTTTAACTGAGACTATAAATAGATGATTGATAATTCCAATGTTATTGATGGTCGATCCAAAACAAGCTAGGTGGGTATACCGTGTGGCACAAATTTTTGCGGAAGTTTATTTTTGCGACCCGATTAGTGATTTTTGCAGAAACTAATTTTTAAGACTAGGACACATTGGTTTTTTTCACTGCGAATTAATTTTTGCGATCTTCAAAAAGTACACAGTACCTTCCCTGCTAGCAGAGATTTCTCACGACGAGGCAACTGAAAATGAGAGGAAAAATCAGAGACCTCCGCTAGCAAGGAACCAGTACCCAGCATTGATAACATTTCCGTTCTTGATAGGTACATGCAATCAGGGAGCAATAGAAATACATATTTTCAAACAGTAAGCAAGGAGATTGCTATTCAAAAGCTGGTGATTGAAGTACTGAATTTTTCCATAAGGCTGTTGTGTTGATCAGAAACACTGTTGAATTTCACCGATCCAGTTGCTCGTAATGTTTACGTACCCAACAGTTTCAGTTTTAACAGTTAATTCGTGTGACTCTCTTAGCGCTTCTAACTCAGTAGGTAGCTCACAGTGCACAAGGTTTCTCGATAAAAGATTTACTCGAAAGAGTTCGCTTGTAAATAGGTCTCTCGTATAGATCATGAACTATACCACTTCCAAAATGTACTCTTGCCATTTTTTGCTGTGGGCTTACCATCAACAGCGTTTACATTCGTATTTTTGGCATTCTTATGCTTCCACCGATAATAAATAGCTTATTGCTTCGAGTCGCTTCGAGCTCCTTAGAATGTACTCTGCTGAAGCCCGCTGACCTATTCTACGCATACTCTTATATCTTGCGCACGCGCTGAACACGCCAGAGTGCGATTTGTACCAGAAGGAAAAACCGAGCTCATTTTATAACTGAGCTGTGCCACAGGCAGTCCAGTAAAAAATGTATGACAACGTTGTGCCCAGAAGTCCATGTTAACTAAGGTAGATAACAGAAGTATGCTTACTATGAGTAAATCACTTATCAACTGATCTATATACATGCATGGAATAATTTCCTATCTCTAACAAATGTTCCAACATAATTAGTAAAAGAACTATCTTGACTGATTGAAGATTTTATGATAAATGAATTCCTAGATTATCAGGACTGATAAATGTCTGTCAGAGCATGAACTCAAGACTATTACAGATCTATAGGTATAACTGAGCAAAAGTCAGTGTAAAAGATAGAAAGCAAATCAAATTCATTGAATTAGCATTCAGAACCCGGCAAACTCTGCTTTTCAACCAACAGTTCCTAATACGATTGAAAAGTTTCAACGAAATTATTTACACCAAAAGTCATATTACATTTGATTTCAATCACAGCATGCATTATTGTAGCAACTTGGTTATCAAGATCTTACTGCATGGTGATACCGTGCGTAGTGTATGTTTCTAGCGTTTCTAAAGTAAACAATCCCTTTATTTTATTACTTTTTTAAAGTTCAGTTTAATCGTCACTTGTGAAAGGATTTTCCCTAGTTTTAGAAAAGGCAAACGTTTTTTCTCCGAACGTTTTAATTTGGCAATTTTGTCAACGTCCCACAGTCAGCCGGGGGAATCAGGCCTCTGGATATTCGTCGTCCTGTTTAGGGATATAACTTGCAGCTATTTGGTATCAGTTATGCTGTTGAGTTATGGGATTCAGGATCGAACAAGAAACAATGATCCACATAACCTTATCGCTTACGGGCCTCGAAAAACGCAGGACACAAGTAGAAGAAAGACCATTCAAACAAATCTTGTTATTCGTATTTAGGGCTTGCTCGCAGGCTATGTCTGTTCCAGAGTTGTATCTTTTAGCGGTCAATTGACCTTTCCGGGGATTAAATACAATTCTGACGAGAATCCATGCAATCCGAGATTATATCCCCGCCTCGGGATTATACGTTAAACAAGCTTCTTTGCAAACGCAGTAAATGAAGTAATATCAGAAACCCATAAGGGGTTGTTCAACCCCTTATGTTTTTCTGGTAATGTATAGTAGTTTGTTTGTGATCAGAGCCTCCGTCTTTAAGCTTGCCTTAGGTCATATTGAGTTGATCTAGGTTCACAGAAATTTAAACTTGAAAAAAATCAGAATCTTCTTTGGATGATAACGTCAGTGCGGTTAATTATCATCCTTATTGTCACTTGTCTGACTATTTCACCAACAAACGTCAAATTATATCTTTCAGAGTACAAAGATTGTTGTATCTTTAAAACGACAATTTGGAATTGCGAAAGAACACCTTTAAAATTACTAAACATGCCAAGTTTTAAAGCAGGGACACGAACTTCCTCTCGCGCCAAAATAGGTCAAATTTTCTAAGACTAAAATCATATAGGATGAGTCTTCTTTGGTTTCCCTTGAAGAACGGGAGTCCGCGATCGCTTGGGTCTTATCAGGACCAATACTCACGAACAATAGGTCTAAAATAACTAAAAAATAAAAGGTAACACCTTCGTCCTGCAAACGTCTTAACCTTCGCGTCGCTCCGTACGACCGCGACGTATGAAATAGCGGTCCTGTAGTTGTCTAACAGGAGAAGTAAAAACTATATATGTTCCCAATTAGATATTTCCTGCTAAATACATCGTGTATATTTGTCTTTCTTACCTTTGAATAAGAGCTTTCAAAAGTGACTTCACTTTTTGAGGTAAGTATGGTTAATTGTGAAATATTGTAATCAAATGAAGTGAGGTCTTGTTCCCTTGGAGTGTTCAGTGTTTTTTCTTCACTGAGTCATAATATTGACTAACACAATGGTGAATACTTATGCTATTAAGCTGTTTTGTCTGGTTTTAACGATAGAAATAATTTGAGATTCCTAAGACTATTTCTAACAGAAAATTAAAGTACTAGAGAAAAATGCGCATTTATACTCCATTCGGCTTTAAATGCATGTAAATGAGTTGGTTCCCATCATTTCAGTTTCACAGAACTGGTCCCATATTTCTATATCCTTGATTCTTTATGGAGGTGGTCAAGAATTTTGTTTTGATGTCCCCAGGATTGGCCGGCAATAACAACAATCATATGTATCATACCTCTTTTGTGAGTTACATGCACAGCAATTCAACATATGCATGTTCTCCGGTCCGAGTAGTCATTGGCCTCGAATATTCCGGGTGTTAAAAAACTCTTCCTAGTTTAACTACGAGTAGGGACGCCCGAACAACTGTAGTTAACTAAACATGCAGCTAAATCACCAAAGATTCATTAATCACGGCTGATACGAATAATGAATTATATAGTGTTTAAACAATTGACACTTATGATGGTGTCAAATACCATAAGTTGCATGACGTAATCAGATAAGCAGAAAGGAGGTCTCTTTTGTTGACCGGTGGAATTCTTCTGGAATTGTTGAGCAACGTCTAGTGTGAAAAAGGTCTGTCTAAAATTCTAGCAAGTGTTTTCTTTCCAAAACTAGAAGGTTTGCATATATAGTCCGACTCCTCGTTTATCAATATATATTCAGTTTCAGGTATCACTATGCTGCTTATGGGATTCCACGTTGGATTGTGTAAGCTGTAGAATGTGGAGTGCAAGTTCCAGTTTTCCGTTTAGAACATCTACTTCGTCATGCCATGACAACCTTTTTTATCGATCACAAATCCATCATGAGACAATGGCTGCATAACACTGGATTTTGATCATTTTCCTACGCCAGTTCAATATATTGCGAAAATGTAGCCTCTTCTAGCACCAAATTTTTCGTTATAGATTCAACGCTGTATCGGATTGCGGAGTTCAGGTAATGGATTCCAGATTTCAAACGCTGGCGGATTCTGCATTCCTAAAGATGAATATTTTAATCCAAAGCCCAGAATTCTGCATGCCACAAGCAGAACTTTTCCAGATTCCTGAATCTGGGTAGGCTTATATGGACGGCGGAACTCGTGATGTTCGTTTCAGGGAGGTGTACGCATAAAAGAGGCCAGTGTTCTCAAGGGAAGAGTTGCATATTGTTGTTCCTTTAAAGTTTTCGGGTAAATTACAATTCGTATCTAACCACAGAAACTACTTATTTTGGTGAATAGAGCTTATGCAAACCTTGCTTTCACAAGAAACTTAGAGAATTCCTTTTTGAATCATTTCTGGTCAGTTAGGAAAGTTGATGTTTTTATCTTTTAGTACAATTTTAACGTTTAGATATTTTATTCAATATTTCAAACTTATCTTATGTATTATTCATATGATTATGTACGTTGGGTCTAAAAAATCCTGATTGGGAGATTTAATAAACTTTCACTTTACTTTAACGACAACACACACGACAAGACACCTGTGCCGCGTCAGTTAAAACTCTTTTTACTGAGGGAAACTGATAATAATTGCATTGTCACTGTACTGACTTAAGTGCAAATGCTATTTACTTGAGAAGACAGGTTTTGTCCAACGGGAACGACGGTTGTCAAGGGATAACTCTTTATAACCAAAGAACATTAATTACATACTGAAAACAAGCTTTGTCGCCCTTTGTTTGATAATCACAATTTTTCCGGATACACCGAGAGCCAATAACCACGTTACGAACGTGAAAATAAAAGTTTTAATCACATCAGGCTGAAAAGAGAAAAGAACCAAAAATGTGTATTTTGCGACCGTGATCAGTGAAAAAATGATCTTAAAGCCGGTTGAGCGATAACGTTCACTTGTCTATGACGATGGCAAAGGCTTGGGTTAGCTGACTTCATGTCCCCTGTCGCTAAAATTCGTGAAATCTAAGACTGTTTTAGTCCACTGTTCACCTGAATTACCTATCACCTAATAATGAACAACTGTTGTAGTTACAGAGGTATTGACATTTCATTTACTTTTAATAAATAAACAGAAACTACAAAGTCAGATAATTTGCTTAAGCGTAAGCTGGCGCTATAATTGCAAGCTAGGTACCAAGTCATTATGAGCAGAGACCAAAGGAAAATATCTCGATCTCTAGAAGAAGGTTCTATTCTAGCGTCCACCGACCAATTGGCACCAATTTCGCAAACTGACAACGAACTTAAACAGAAATTAGAGGCAATCAAAACTTCTCATAAATTGTCAAACAAGAGGATTAGGCAGGAAACACGCGAACTCAAGAAAATTCTGTATGACTTGCAGAAAGAGCTGAAGGTCTCAAAGGGAACACATGGACGGTATATTCCATCTTTACTTAATCAGCCTCAAGGACGCTTAAGAAGAACCACTGTTAGTTCTGTTCCACAAGAGGACCGAAAGGAGGCTTCTCAGTTCGAGCGAGATCAACAGGGAAGAGTTAAAAAGGGGCTGAATCATGATTTTACGAGAAGGCGTAGAAGTGGTAGTTTTCCTCCTATTTCGCAAACAGATTTGGAGAAAACCCGGCAATCTTATTCCTTAACGCCCTCTCAACACGATGAGAACAACACTATACCAGCAAGGCCACGAGAGGAATTGCAAAGACTTTCTCCTTGTACGCAACCTGGTCTCCCAAGTCAGTTAGACAGCAATCAAGGACCAGAGATAATAAGTTCTCCTTATGAGCAGCAGCAAAGTGAAAAACAATATTTGGCGACTACAGTTTGTGGAAAATTTGCAACGAGAGAGGGCCCTATTACATCAAATTCACCACGTTCTTCATATCAAAGTCCTCAACTTTATAAAACATCAGCGAGCAGAAGAGAAACTAGATCACTATGGCAAAAGCCCAGTATTGTCGACGAATATTCGATAAAATCGAATCAAAACGAGCAGCGGAAAAAAAGACTAAGCGTGATTCACAATAACTTGCAGAGTACAGGGAGTATCGGAATTAAGGCAGAGACGCCCAAGACTACTTTGCATGGAAAGTTTGACACTGGACACGATCCGGAGTATACGCCGTTTGACTCGCTACCGGCAGGGATTGTTGGGGGACGAAGACTGAGTACAGTCACTCATGGTAGGGTTAGAAAACCTTCCAGGACAAAAGGACTTCCGCCTTTGAAAGAGGAAAAAACTATGACAACGCCTGAAAGAACAACCGCAGAAATGTGGAGTGATTTAGCAAACTGTAGATACTTGAGAAAAGAAGAGAAGGAATTAAGTATGGATGATATATTTGGTAAAGACTAAAGTAAATATTTCTCTTGACTTTGTTAGCCATTACTTTTGTCATTATGCATACTATGTCTATAGCCTATATCCATGCCAATTGATTTGCAGCCACTCTTGACGTAAATTCCATTCAGAATGGTTCTCACACCGCGATACTTTTCCTGTTCAATTACTGCTTGAAACAACAACTTTGTGGTTCGCGTGACTGACCTAGGTTTTGCAAAGTTTGAGGAGTTTTCTCGGTTGGGAGCTAAGGTAAAGAGTTCAGTCCAAAAGAAAAAAAGGTTGAGAAATGTAAACCCAATGTAATGCTTTTAAACAATGCAGTTCTTTAGGGCAAGATCCAGGCTTGGGTAATGGCTAGGGAACCTGGTTTTACTCCAAGCTCGTTACGTCCTTAGCGAAAATGTACCTTGATATAGTGTGGGGCAACAGCCGCTTGACTTAGAACGATTGCGTTAATTGCTTTAGTACAACCCGACCCTCACTTTATTAGTGTTGAGAGTTCTTCTTTGATAACACAATTTTAAATGACCTATTTTGCTCAACTGTACATTAGGTACATTGTACACGCTTTTCCGACAATTTGTGCGAATGAATTTAGCGCAGATTTAACCTAACCCTTTACTGCAATATCTGCTTTGTTCACATCATCTCATTTTCTCAACGCAAAGTGGAAGAAACGCGACAGGTATAGCACGGAACGAGCAGAAGCGAGAATCGGGAGGGGTAAGGGGTAGCAAGACCTATCATGTCGCCTTCACAGGTCCACCTATTGCGCTATGGAATAACAATCTAAGTAATGGAGGGCTGTTAACAGTCAAATTATTTCCACTTATGTCCAGAAATTCGCGCAATGGCGAAAATTCGCCGACGTGCATTTCTGGACACATCTCATAATATCGATCTCTACTCCATTCAGCCTAGCCCACTTAGGTTGCAAAATTATCCTTTCCCCTGAGAGTAAACAATAAACTATATGTCATTTGAGACGTCTTTATTTAACTCTTATTCTTCACTCTCTCCGGCGGCGCGATACTGCCTTCACACCACAGCAATCTAAGATAAACTTAATTTTATGTTACTATTTATGTACAAATGTTAAGGTAAATTGACTTAAGACTATTTACATTAATATTGGAACACGGTATGGTTCAGTCAAACCGTTATCAAATGCAACATCACGACAGCCGCAATGGTTTGATCGTTTAACACCGTTAGCTCAGTTCCTTTACGTGGCCAAATATTGGCAAGTTGTACAGTCAATTCTCATTATAGCGGACTCTGTAGGGACCTCGAGTTAGTGTCCACATTAGCGAGAGTCCGTAGTTTATTTCTGTCAAATCTCTGTAATATATTTTTGCCTGGGATTGAACTGCTGTCCCTACAGGGGTGTCCGCAAGGCGAGAGTTGACTGTATTCATTCCGAGAAAGAAATGCTTAAATATATGAAGATAATGCCTCGGGAGCAATTCACTCCGTCTCGATTTCAGTACTGTATTAAATCAAGATAGCCAGAGTTTTGGCATTTTCCTTGGAGCTCTGTCAATTTTTGTTGGACAAAACAACTGTTGTAAATAAAGTAAATCCAGGCCCCGAAAACCAGTGTTTGGTCAGACTGAAAAAGGCGTAAAGACAGACTAGTAAAGATTTTCAACTTTTCTCAAAAGAGAAGAACCATAAATCAAGCCAGTCTGACTGAAAGTGTTAAGTGATACTTTGTCACGGGAGGTGACAAAACTACATGTTGCATTATAAAACAAAGTATACTTGGTTATATCTTTATGTACTCCTTTTTGATGTATAATCGTCAGTTATAAACCTTGGCGGCCTTTTAGAGTTTTGTATCATGCACTGTTTCTATCTTCTCTGAACAATCCTTCAGTTCGTTTTTGTGACTCAAAAAAGAACTAGGCGCTTCCTCTGAGTGCCTTCGCAGTTCACATTTGAGTTCTAGTTTATTCTTACTCTTGGTTTCATTCAAGCTGGTACTTCGCGCACGCTCCACAAAACTTTCTTGTTCAAGAACACATCGCACCCCTTGATACATGTCATGTTTACCGCGATGATGTCGACTGTCCTGCCTCCCCATGGCAAGCCTTTCGTCTCTAGAAGTCTTTCTGAGGAACTCACTCTTTTTATCTTGTTTACTAAGATGAAAATGTTCCGGTGACAAAGCGCGCCTTAACAGCGGTGATCCAGGTCTGGGCGATGTTTGAGGGGTAATACTGGCCAAATGTGGTGACGCTGGGGACCCCCGAAGGGTCAGTGGAGAAGTGCTACGGGGGTTATGATTGTGAGGATGAGAAGGTGACACTGAGGTGGGTGAAGGTGTTCTGGCAAGAGGGGACACTGGCACATGGGTCGATGACTTTCTTCTTGGTGAACGAACCGCGCGTAACTTTGGAATAAGCCCTTGAAGAGTTCCTGGAAGAAGAAGAAAAAAACATATCAGACCTATTTTGAAGCTTTTTTTAGCCACAAGTTCTTACTGTGGTCTTACGTTGTTGAAATCGTTCCTATACACTCCCAAGTTCTCCCCAAATGAGACCATCGAAGGCTACTTCCTACGAGTATAATCAGCCAGGCGGAAAACACCAACTTAACGTTAAATCCACGAACAAATTCATTACGTATGTTGTGGTTCAATTTTATACTTGGTTCAAATTATCTTTTCCCTTTGTTTTAGAGTATATTTAGGCTTCACGAGTTTAAAACAAAGGAAAATAAAATTTAAACCAACAATAAAGTTGAACCACAGAAGAAGAGGTACATAGTATTAAAAATGAAGCGACCCGTTTGGAGTAGTTTAAGACGTCCGCCTGCTACGTGCTTTCCCTAACATGATGGAAGGTATTTCTGTCGACGAAAAAGCACCAGTATGTGAATATCACATTTTAAACAGGGACGCCTGTAACATTCTAATCACAGAGCACAAAGTAAAGTTACTGATCTCTCAATTTAACCCTTTCTAGATACAGTTGAACTGTCTGAAACGATCACTTACAGTTAGAACGTCACATCATGAGATAACATTTCCTTATTGGAGAAGATACTGAATCGAAGTTTCTCTCGTCGTGAAAGTCAATTTGTACCGCTAAGCGATCAGAATGTGTCACGTGGTCACATACGGGAGGTCTCAAACAATAGAAAAATGTAAACTACCATTCGAAGCGCTGAAGTGGCCGCGGTTTAGTTACTTCGAGAAGTTCCAACCATGGTCATTAAATGGGAGAATGTTGGTGATTTGGAAAACAGATCGCTCAACAGGTGGTCGCACATGGAGGTTCGACTTTATAATAAATGGGAACAGCACGCTTTAACAGCCTTCAATACCGTATTTATTCGAATAAGCGCCCAACCTCGAATTAGCGCCCACCTCGAATAAGCGACCATCCTAAAGGCAGAAAAAGTTAATAAGCGCCCACCCCCTCCTCCTCCCAATCAAACTGAAATATGCGCTCACCCGCACCCCACCCACTTGAGTGAATAAATTCTAATAAGAGACTTCCCCGAGGACGGAGTTTTCTTGCAAAATAAACATACTTCACTTGCTAAAAATGGTGAAAACTTAATAAGCGCCCAGCCTCGAATAAGCGCCCAATCTCAAGGTCCAAAAATTTAATAAGCGCCCAGGGCGCTTAATCGAATAAATACGGTAATTGTTCAAAGAAAAGTCAAAATTGCACTTTTTCCCTAAAAGAGGAAAGTGGACAAAACGCGCATGTAACATCCACAAACGGAACAACCCAAAGACAAAAAACACTTGATATTAGTCATTTTCATTTGATCTACTGCTAGGTTTTCCGGGTTTTTCCTAGGTCTTTGCGTACGCTTACAACATGATCCGAAAAGAGCTTCCGTTTTGAATAATTATGACAAAAGAATGGTCGACTAAACGAAAAATAATTTAAAATGCTAGCAGGTGGGAATTTAAAGGCGCAAAATGTTTCTACTTTTAAAAAATTTAGAATTGATTCCTGACAAGTTAACGTCAATTTGTTGTAATAGTTTAGGTTGGATCTTTTCACCTGGTCGTCCTAGGCTATGAGCACTCGGTGAGCTCGGGGACGATGCTGGACTGCTGCTGACAGATGACGACGACTGATCCGACAGCGTCCGAAAGTCAAACGAGGGTGACGCACACTTTGGCGAAGCGGGTCGCTGTCCCCTCCCATCCGGAGATGACACCATGCGTTTTAATGAGCTGGTCCGGCGAAGGTTTGTCCCTGGAGAAAGAGAGTGACTTGCTCTTCGTCCTAAGTTTTTCCAGAAAGTTTTTTGCTTGGGTTGTTTATCGCTGGTTTCCGGGCCAGGAGATGATGGCACATTTGGTGAGGTAGCCGCTCTTCTTCCGCGTCTTAATTGAAACTTTTTACGAACTTGTTTGCTCATGGAAAGGACTCGCTTTCGACCGCCCCTTTTAATAGAAGTCTTGGCAAGTTCCGTAGCTCCAAGTTTTACTTTTGCTCCACCTGCCAGAATGAGCTCGATGACTTGACGGTGACTAAGTCCCATTACGGGCTACAAAGAATATGATTAAAAGAACTTGTGAACAACTGCTCATAGTCAGGAGTAAGTCACTATTACAGATACGTAAGCCAATGAAATAAACCATACACAATTTAAACGACCTCTCCAGTAACGCGAAAAAAGAGAAGTACGGAGGAAACTACTCGCCTGTTTTTATCGCCCCCTACCAGGCCTCTTAACACTCGTGTAACAAAACCACCACGAATTCTGGTGCTCGTACGACCACCCAACCGCCTCTCCACAAAAACGTCTTATTTAGGCTAATGTCAAACTACATTACTATTCCTTTGCAGTATTCTTGACCGGTCGCTCACAGTTTAAGCCCCAGTGGTGATTCAGTTTCTATTGTTTGTCTTTGGTGTACTTGGGATGCACATAAACATTAATTAACATTAGTCTTAATTATTCCTAAATATGTTTTCAGTTCTCCGAAAAACCAGACACTTCCAAATCTCAATAGTAGGCAGCTATAGATCTTACCTCATCATTGACGTGAGTAAGCAAATCTCCAGGTCTGAGACCTGATTCAAACGCTGCACTTCCATGATCCACATTCTGAAAATGAAGAAATAAAACGTCATCAAGACGGTCATTGGCGTTTTGAGGTAGAAATCATCCATGGTGTAACAGAAATGATAACAGACTGTATCACTTAACAGTTGCTGATAAAGTGTAAAATCAACAGGAAATAGAACAGACAAGTAAACAGTGAATAAAAATATTTCAAAATCATTCACGCGTCACTTCTTCCATGTTATCCAATGCGGTAAAGTTGGCCTTAAACTTCAGTGTCTTTTGAATGAATAAAAATGACTAACCGACACCAGGTGATGAACTCTGTAGTAGTTCGTATCGCCAAAGTATACTCGTATGGCCTGTAAAGTAAACCCATATCCACGCGGGCCCTTTTCGATTATGATTGGGGGACGAAGACAGAGTGACAACGTCTTTCCTCTCCTTCGGCTTCCAGGGGAGCGGGGCGGGGTCAGGGAACGAGGAGATCCAGGAGGACTTTTGATGTGATGCTGTAATGCGCGAAACTCATCATCGGATACTGTGGGGAAAAAAAACAGCTCTTAAAAATATCAGCTTGGCTTTTTTGCATGCAATTTGAAGCTTTCACCCAACTGACTCCCAATGAACAAATTGTAGATGATCAATACGAAATTCCAAAGTAATTGAAACATGCCCTTCTATATTTTGTTACTTCTCCAGAATAGCAGGAGTGAACCAGATGAAAACTTGAACACGGGCAAATGAATGAAAAGTCATCTAAGCCATATTGACAAGAATTAGCCGTAAACAATGCAACTAAATGGAACTAAAAAGAAGGCTCTTGTTTTTAAGATCAACATTTTCCTCTAACATTCAGAACATGAAGTTAAGAAAACTGTATCAGTATATAAATGTGCACTACATCTCATGATACAAACCACTCAATTCCCCTTTTCTCTACACATTTTCGGTTGTTTCGTCCATCGTAAATGATTTTGCCGGAAAACCTAGTTGAATCTTGTGTAGACTGAGGTTCTGATAACTATCCTGATTTTACTTTCTCAATTCAAAGGGGGACGACAGAGGGCAAATAGTTGTTGCTCAAAATATCTGTAAGTCCCATGATGTCATTAAAGACGCCACTCGACGCCCGCTTTAGTAGCCTGAATTTCATCCGATTACTTCGAGTCGTTATTACTCCCTCAGAGGAGAAAACGACTCGAAGCAATCGGATGAATTTCAGGCTACGGCTTTAGCTCATATTTATCGCTTCCCTTACAAACTACACCTTGATTTTTAAACGCATGTATATAGCATTTCATGTCAAAGACTCTTTTCTTCTTGTTATAGATCAATACGGCAGGGTATGAATACTTACGCGACAGTTCCAGCTTGGGAGCATTAGCGCTAAGTGTATCACGCTTTTCGCTGGGAAGGGAATGGGTTCGGTGAACCCGGTGCCTCGCCTCAGTCTCCGTAGTAAGTCTGGCTGAAGTGGACGCAGGAGAATGGGTCGGACTTTCCTCGTCGGTTGACAGTGACAACAGCGGGACTGGGGATAAGTCTGAGTACGCCTTCTTTCTTAACCGAACCGTGGGGGGAGTGATAGGAGACTCGGGACTTACAGGGGTTAGGGAGCTGACAAAAAAACAACAATACTAAAATAAGTAAATACAGTCGAACCTCCACTAACGGCAACCTCTCTAAAAAGGCAACCATATTTTGTCCAGGCGGACAGTCCATACATTGACTCTTATTTAAACCTCTCCACAACGGCAACAGCCACTACAACGCGTCCCCTACTGCCAAAATAACCTCTCGACAACGGCCAGTTTGTTCAACGAATGATGAAAATGTCAAGAATGGTAATGAAATTTGATCCGTATGGCGCGTAGATGATTAATCGCGGCAATCGTATTTTGATTTCGCTTCATTTACACTGCTGCAGTAAGCATAAATTATCTACGATACTTATAGCGAATGATGCGAACCTTTCTCCTTTTGTCACGTTAACATATTGATTCAAAACATAATTCAAGCTTTTTGAGTATTTTATCTCTATATACTATTTATGATTGGATTATTACCATTACGGGAGACAGTAGACATGAACTTGGCACAATAGACATGTTGTACTCCTTAAACAAATTGTCATATTACAGTCCTACTCCCCCATAACGGCTACCTCTCGACAGCGGCCACTTTCTTCTGTTCCCAAGGTGGCCGTTGTAGAGAGCTTCGACCGTAAATAAATAAATCAATCAATAATAATAATAATAAACAACAACAACAACAAAAACCAAAGGCGACTTCCACAAGCCACTCAATTTCAAAGTGCACTTAATCATAAATTATAACTGTATCGTATTTAAGGCGCATTAGCTGCGGTTAAACGAGTCATTTTGCACCTCGTTAAACAGGTTCTGCCCACGAGGAAGCATTTTGGTATTTTGTAGCCGAACAGCCGTCTCTCCTCCCTCGCTCCTCGGCGAGACGGCTGTATTCACAGACTATATCAAGTCCTCAATCAATCACAGATATACAGGCAACGGCGAACTAGAAATTATAGTCAAATATTCTCAAACGTCAACTTCAACTGGAAACCAGGATAAATGGACCTCAAATACTTACTCGCTCGTTGAGTTTCCTCTACTCCGGGATTCACGTTCGTCAACGCCGCTATCACTTTGTTGCCTCGGTAAATCCTCGGGATCCTGCTCCTGGCGACAAGGACTCCGTCCGTTAAAGCTTCTTCGGACAGTAGGAGGAGAACTATCCGAGCTCTGATCACTGCGTGGAGTGCACACTTCTTCACCTGAGTCTTTATTATCAGAGGTTTTCTTTCCATCGTTAGACGAGACAGGAGACGAAGGGCCTGGGGAAGGAACTGGTGATGGTATGGGGGAAGCAAGGATGCGGGAATATCGAGGTGAACATGTGGAGAAATTACTGAACTCGTTTGAAAGGTTCCTGAATTCCTCATCATCGTCCTCATCATCATCAGTTTCAACCTCGTGGTTATAGCGGTCAGTACGAGCTGAATATTAAAAGAGTTAATATTATTTTACATCACCTAAACACAACCATGAATCCTGCTCTTAGGCCAAGTTCAGACGTTGTACTTCATTAAGGCCGACTCAAATTCATTTAGGCTGGCTGAATAGATTCAGACGCCGATCTTTATTTCAGCAAAACTAACTTTAAAAGCGAAAAAAAGCGCATTTCGGAAAACTATACTACTTACTAATAAATTACGTCGTTGGTTCGGCTCATGGAAAGTTCGGCGTCTGAATCAACGCCAGCCAACAGCCGTTACTCCTAGACGAGCCAGACTAGAAGAAAGGCTGAGCCGTTTCAAATTGACTCTGATGCCGTTCTTCACATGGACTTAATTATTCCCTGAATTAATTCGATTCGGCTCTACTCATGTGAAGTACGGCGTCTGCACGGAGCCTTATAGAGCTGGATAATTTTAACAAAAGACTTTCTAGTAAGGAAAGGCGTTTCCATTTGCTTCATTTGAATGCGCCTGGCATCACTCGCCAAAAACGATGAGTTGTCAAAGTCCTTGTCAGCAACTTTGTCTATAAACACACAAGGGAATTTTGAAAAAAAAAAAAAAAAAAAAAAAAACTTCAATTTTAATTTACTTTCAAAATAGCCGGAATCAACATCACAAACCAACAAAAGAATTAATTCACCTTTTTTTTTAAGAAAGGATGGAAAGGCAAACACAAAAAAAGAAGTGAGAACCTTGACCACAGGAGAGGTGT